AGCGCGATGTGCAATTTTGGTTGTCTTCAGCCCTGAGAAGTTGTTGCCAACCATGTGCTCACCAAGAGTTAACATCGGTTTTGATGTGACCCTGAGCAGCTAGATACTTCAAACGGGTTCCAGCCCCAAATTTCATGGACGCCCCAACAGTGGCTGATGTCAAAGAATTAAATCCATATTTGGTAATAATCAACACTTGCTTTCAGTCTCTTCCATAAGGGGTGTCAGTATTGTTTTGGCTGTCTTGTCATCCTGGAGTAATTAATGCATGCTCCAAGCTGTAGGATTCCTCTTGTGACAAGCATGTGACAGAAGGTCCGCCCTGAGACTCGGAGTGGGGAGTCATGTTATTTATTGATTTATTTTTTATTTATGTATTTTACAACCACCCCATTTCACAATGCTTTTGTAGACCCAGAAGACCCTGTGAGTCTTGCCTTGTGTTGCTATTTTGCGTCAGGAACATTTCAAGATAGGACGTCTAGCTGAACATGGATAATCACAGAGGACTTTGTGGATGGAAACTTAAGACTTATCATTGGTTGCTTGTGGTCTTTTTAGGACGCGCTGACACGCCCATGTGCCAAGGAGCTTGTCGCCGGCAGAAGAGTCTCGGCTGAACGACATCCGCCGTCAGCGAGCAGATTTGAAGGCGCCCTCTTGTCGGCGCGAACTGGGTTAACTGTAGACTCCATTGTCATGACCTTGCCAAAACAACAAATGCTTGGGACTGGGGCAACTGGGGTCAGTTCCGCAGCCATGGTGATGTCCTTGGGTTGAAGTTCCAAGGGGTTGCAGCCAAGGCTTCGGCCCCTGGTGAGATTTAGCGCCACATTTCTCGGGGGTCCCAAAAGGGGCCAAGCGGGTGACCGTGTCTTGTTGTGCGTTTGTTTGTTTGGACGGACCATGGAGTCTCGAACAGCAAACAAGTTGTAGAGGATTTTTTCACTTGGGGCTTTGCCTTATGTCAATGTTCAGACCCTTGAATTGGTCCCTTTGGACCTTTTCCAGGCTTATCGGGCTAGCAACCTTTTTCTCTGGCTGCTTGGTACTCAAAGGGGGCTATCGGTTCAACACAAATCCAACAGGCTCCCCCTGGTGCATGGTGCACCATTCCAAAGTGAATCTACCGGGATATTTACCGGCTTGATTTCCGACTCAAACCCCCTCAGTACTTCTTCTTCTCGAAGCCCTTCGCCTTGTAGTACTCGGCGCGCATCTTCTCGGTTCCCCATCCCTTGCCCTTGTTGGTGTGCTGGAACTCGTTCCAGCTATTGCTGCATGCCTTCACCCTCGACGTCGAGCTCGAGGATGCCGAGGATGCCGCCGTTTCATTCCAGTGGTGCTCCTGCTCAAACCCCCCTCCATCGTACTTCCGCACCACCCATGTTTGGCCCCACTGATCATGAAGCTCCTGAATCCCACGGTCCACCTTCACCAAGTCCCGGGGCTTCTCCTTCACCTTAACGACCTCCAGAGGCTGCACGCCTCTCAGCCTTCTCACACAGCCCACCGCAACACCCGCGGTTTGCTTCGCCACCCACACTGCTCCAATCGCCATCAGGATGACTCCCACAACGAACAGCACATCCAACTCGTCCACAGGCATGATGCCCTTCATGGCGGTCGCCTTTCCCACCAAATCTGCCCCGATCACCGCCAACAACCTCACCTTCATACCGAAGCCGTCCGCAGTGACCGCCTGATCCTCCTTGGCCAAAATGGCCTTCCTCATCATCTTCTTTACCACCGGCATGCCCAGGTCTTCCCTGAATCGCTCGAAGGCCTGACCATTAAGCGATTTCGTCATGCCGTCTGCCACCAGCTGCTTTCCCGACAGGTGCGTGAGCGACCAGCCACCATCTTCCAGGGCCCACCGTAACGACGCCGCCCTGATCCGCAAGTGCCTCGTCCTCCAGCTCCCTGACCCGTTTGATGCCAAGGCTATCGCCGCCACGTTGTCCCCATAGATCCTCTTCTGGGTGAGTTGCTCACCCAGAATCACCTCCAACAAAGCAGCTGTCGCCCTTCCAGCCACCAACGACTCGCAGTATCCAATCAGCTCCGCTTCCGCCGTGGATTGCGCCACAAACGGCTGCTTGGTCGCCTCCCATGCAATCGGCGAGCCCGCGAAGTAGACCAAGATGCCCTGCACGCTCTTGTGGTCTCCTGCTGTGCCATAGCTGATGTCCGAGAACACCTCCAGCAACTTATCGTGCCGCTTCACGCTCAGGTGATCCCGAGCGCCCCATCCAGTAGCCTTCGCGTACTTGAGGCCCACGTCGGTCGTGGCGTTCACATACTTCAGCAACGCCATGCCCACATCCAACCTGCTTCGGGCTCTTCATGTTACGGGCCATTGTTGCGACTCCCGCCATCAAGTCTGGCCTCGTCTTCGTTGCCAACCAAAGCAACCCACCCGTAATTGCCTGTGCCCGTCGAAGCATCGCGGGGTCCAACTCTTCTTCCTCCTCCGGAGCCTTGTACATCGGCACCTCCATCTTCTCCCGAACGCCCCATTTCTCCACCAACTCCTTTGCGTAGGCGCTCTGCCTCAAGTCAAAGCCCTCCTCCGACTTCCACATCTCGAAACCACAATACCTCAACGGCTCCTCCTCCGATGGCCATTCGATATCTGACAGCGGCCACTCCTGTTCAATTCTCTTTACCGCCGCCTTGATAACCTCCTGCTTGGCCGCTATCAGCACGTCGTCCACGTAGATCGACATGAAGCCCATGTGCCTTTCGGTGAGGTCGACCCCTTCCACGTGGCATCCAATGATCTTCCAAAGGTTCGGCTCCTCCGTGACCTCAAACTTCATGTCCCACTCCACGTCCTCCTCATCCTTCTACTTCCACATCATCTTCTTGAACATGCCATCGCGATGCACCCCCCAGTCCTTTGGGCTTGTGGTCAACCCATAGACCGCCTTGTCTATGATCCACACTTCCTCCTTGTTGGCCAACCCACATTCCCGGAAGATCGCCGGCACCTCCATCACCACCGTCTTGGAATCATCTCTTCTCGGAGCGTGAAGAAATGCCGTACGAATGTCGGTCCCCGCCAGGAACCACCCTCTCATTGCTGCCATCTTCGCCAAACTCCTGATCTGAGTGGCATCCGCCCCGGACGCATATGTGTCCTCCTGTGCGGTGCTGCTTGCGAAGTTGCCGCACACCACGCCCCGAACTTTCCTCCTTCCATCGGGCGCCTTCCTCGTGCACACTGCCTTTGACGGCAGGAACTCCACCATTCCCGGCAGCTCGTTGACCTCCTTCCTAGACACCGGTCTCACCGCCTTCAGCTCCTCGGTCATAGCGATGTACTCCTTCTTGGCCGGCTCAATCCAGTGCTGGAGCTCCGTCCTCACTTCTTGCATTCCTACCGTTTTCGTGACCCACCACTCCTCCTCCAGGCGGTCTGCGTCCTCTATTTTCATCTGTCTGAGCTTCATCTCCAGCTCGTTTTTCTCTTGAACTCCTTCGCGAACCACCGGGAGCCACCACTCTTGCCCTTCTCCTACTCCATCCAGCAGTTCCATTTCTTCAGCTACCCAAATAGCAATGTTGCTGTGGTGCTCCAACATCTTCTCCTCCACATCCTCCCCCTCGACGCGCATCGTCGACAGCTTCTGTTTCCCATTCAGCCGCCGCCTCTTTGGCGCCAAAAGGTCCACCTCCGGTCTCACCTCCAAGTTCACCGCCCCTTGCTCTCTGTTCAGGGCTTCCTCTACCTCCATGTTGATCTCCTCGGGCTCCGGAATTGCATCCGTGGTCGAGAAGAACCTCCCATCTTCGCAGCTCCTCACCCAATATCCACCCGAGGTGAGCGACATCGCGGCATCCGGGCCCATCACCGTGACCCTCTCTCTGTCCCACCTCCAATCCTGGTAGCGGTCCGTCCATGCCTTCTTCTTCACGTAGGCAACGGACGCGAACGGCAGCAGTTGCTTCGCGGGGTATCCCAAGCTTCGAAGCTGACCCCGCAGCATCCTCTCTGCTGCTTGCCGCAGCGCCAAAGGCCACACCTCCACCTTCTCCTTGGAGGCGCACAAGATCGTCCTTGTCGCCCTTTTCAAAGCACCCACAACCTGCTCGGCACGACCGTTTTCCTTGTAGCTATCGCCGGGCACGGTCGTCTTGTAGATGCCTCTATCCTCTGCGAACTTCCTGATTGGAGCCGACACCAGCTCCCGCGCCCGATCCGAATGAAGGCGCAACACCGGCAGCCCCAACGCTCGCAACCGAGCATATATCCGTGCAATAGCCGGCAGCACGTTCATCGCCTTCCTGTCCAGCACGGGCTCCGCGAAAACCAAGTTCTTGACCTTGAAGCTCGCCGCCTCTTGCACCATCTTCTTCCACTTTTCCAGGTCACCAACGTCCTTTTCGTTCTCTCTTTCCTCTGCTACAGCTTCCTCATCTTCCCTTACCTCCAGTGGCTCCATCTCCTCGTCCGCCTCCGGTAGTAGGTCATCTTCTGCAGGAAGCGGATGTTCCTCTTCTTCACGCACCAGTGACCTCCCCTTCATGTCCACCGGATACGTGTACACCCCCACCAAGAAGTACGCCACCTTTCCTCTCTGGTCGACCCCTTCCTTGAGCTTCCCGGAGAGGTCCACCGCCAAGGTGTATGCATCCGGGTGAGTGACTCTCACGTGCGGTCTCCCCCGTCCCTGGGCTTGGACGCACGTTTTGCAATCCCTTCTCGCCGGCATGTGGTCGTTGAGGAAGTGCGTCTTCCATCTCTGCAGCTCGTCCACACGCACCGGCTTCAGCTGCGGCTGCATCTTCAAATGCATCCTCACCGCTTTCATGATCTCCGTCTTCAAACCCGGCGCCCAACACACCCATGATTTCGTCTGCTGGATCCGTTCCTCAAGGCTTCCAGTCCATTCCTCCTCCCCCGTGCCTGGGCCCCCCAGTCCATCTAGATGGTCCAGGTACGGCGCATTTACACCAATCGTTGTTGGTTTCCGCCTCCGATGGCCCAGTGCTCCTTGGTCACATCGAACCAGGTGCATACCGTACTTCTGCTCAAAGGTCTTCCATTCCTGAAACCTCCACACGCTGACATAGTCCGGGTTGCCATCATCCCGGTACTCTCCAGGATCCCGTGGCTGCTCCTTAACGAACAGCACCTTGTCCTCCGCTGATGCCTGCGCCACCACGTGCAATGTGAGCATCCTTAACCACAGCACCGCGTCCCCCTCGACCAGCTCCTTCTCGTACAGGTTCAACCCCTTCTTGCCGTAGGGCTCTTCCACCGACCTCACCGGCCTGGGCCCAGGGCTCCTCGTTCTGCAGGCCGAGACCGTCCTGCACGGCGGGCCGCCCAGGATCGCCTTGACCTTGCCCGTCCTGGCCAACTTCAGCAAGTACGCAAACACCTGCGACCTGTGAAGGTCCTGGCCCGGGTCGATGGCCGTGTCCACACACATCACCACGACTCCCCGACCTTCAAGGCCATCCATCCACTCCTTCTCATTCGCACCCGCAAACAAGTGAATAATGAGGTGCTCTGCCCGTTCGAACGTCCGCCTCCTTCTCCTATTCCAGGGCAGCTCGTCCCCATCCACCTCCATGCTGGGCATCACCCGGCTCATAATCTCATCCGGCACCCCCGGGAAGAACTCTTTCAGTGCCTTGGTCATGGCCAGCTCCGGTCTGTCCTTCAACTGCTCCATCGGCATCTTCATCGCCGCCAACCGCAGCATATGATTCTCTTCCATGAGTTCCATCTCCTCGATGAGACCCAATGCGATCTCGGCCTCCACCATTGGGCAACTGTCTATCATCTCCACCTCCAGGCCTTTGCCCCTCCGCCGAACCTTGCAGTGTCCCTGCTTCCACTCCACCTCGTACCCCATCATGGTAAGGACGCCCATGGGCACGATCGGCTGGATGTCCTCCTGCGTGATCAGCGTGAGGGTTCCCTCCTTCAACCTCATCTTCGAAGTGGTTCCTTCCGCCAGGATCACCTTCGTCGGCGTTGCGGCTTCCCACTCCTCCAGGTCCTTGCACTTCCGCAGTGCATGAGTTGCTCCCCCGTCTAGCAGGCCCTTGTTGATGACTACCGTGTTCATCTCCTTGATCACCACCATTGCCTTCGCGGATGGAGCCCTCATGGACCTAAGAAGCTGTGTTGCTTCCGCCAACAGCTCCCCCGTTCCACCACCTGTAGATGTCGCCGTCCATGCCGTGGCCTCCACCTCCGCTTTCTCGATCTTTTCAGATCCTCCTGCATTCCACCCACTCGCTCCTGCGCTTGCTCCTGCAGGACCGCTTCCACCACTACCAGCTGCACCACCTCCCCCCGAGCCGTCTCTCGGCTCGTGCACTGCAGCTTTGACCACCGGCTTCGCTGGCTGGCCCTTTCCTCCACCTTTCACCGGACAATCCGGTCGTCGGTGCTGCTTCGACCCACAGATCCAGCACCGCACATTCCGATCTCCGACTGACTCCCAGTCGTGATTCCACTTGCACCCTTTTCCCAAGCGACATCCATGCTCCGACCCAAAGTACCTGCACACCGCCGTACCCGTCTCCTTTTTCGCATGGTCCGGAGCAGGCCTGTCCGCTATGGTGCCCGTGGCCATTGCCTTTACCTTGGCCGGTTCCACCGTCATCAACCTCGCCGTATCCATCTCCGCGAGCAGCAACTCGGAGTAGTTCCAAATGCTTTGCACTGTGGGCGTGGTGTCTAGCCCCAACTGTGTCCGCGCTTGGGCAACCCGAAAAGCTTGCGGCCCTCCACGATTCACCAGCTGCGTCACCTTCTCCAATGCAGCGGCTAGAAGCGTAGGATCTGGAAGCGAGGCTCCAATCTCCTGCTCTCTCAGGTAGTACCTCCTCCATTCTCTCAAAGCGACCGCTGCTTCTGCAACCGTCCTCATCTGGCCCAAGTCCGTGAGCTTCCTGAGGATCAAGGACCGTTCTCCAGGACCACCAGGCTGATAAGTCACCAACAGCCTGTACAGCACACCCGTGCTGCTGATGTCCCTTGCCGAGATCAACTCCTTGCGGATCTCCTCCGGAATTGCCCGCAGCAGCATGGTGACCCCGCGCTGCTCCGTCCGCACGAACCTGGCGGTTCTGAGAGCCTCCGGGATCCCGACCGTGATCTTGAGCCGGTCCAGGGGAGTGCTCCTCAGCCAAACCTCGTAGAGCTTCTTTGCCTCTTCCATTGTGCCCATCCACCACTCAGCCGCTCCTTGAGAAAGATCCTGCATCTGGGGACCCACCACAGCGAACCAATCCCCCAACGTCAATGGAGAATGATCATACGCCAGCTCCGGCAGTTCCACTTTCGCCCCTGCTCCTCCCGTCTCGATCTGGTCCAGCGGCTTCGCCTCCGCCTTTGTGTTCTGATCCCAGTCGTCCCAGGAGCCCCACAAGCCGCTCCAGTTCCTGTACCATCCTCCACGTGGTTGCTGATCCCACCTCGCCTCCCAGCCTGAGTCAGCATCTTCCGTCCTCGGCGGTTCTCCTTCCGGCACCTGAGTTCCACCCGGGGTGCACCTCCATGCAGGCGACCTGGTCCTTGCTCTCGGGGTACTGGCCGTCCTCGCTGCAAGAACTTCCACCGGCCTCGGCGGCGGTGGCGGTGGCGGTGGTACCGGGGGCACAGTCTGTGGAACCATCGCTTGTGCCATTGGAGTGACAAACATCTCTTCCACCGGCGTCTCAAACCTTTCCGGTTCCACATTCCTCTCTCGAACCGCTTGTTCATACTGTTCCTTCCAGAACTTCGCCTTCTCCTGGGCCTTTCTGACCTCTCCTCTCAGCTCTTTGATCATGCCGAAGAGGTACTCCCGCTGCTTCTCCATGCCGACCAGCTTCTTGCACGCCCGGCCGTAGTTTCTCTCCATATCCTCAAACAGGTCCATCTCGCCAATCAGCTCTTCCTCATCGTTTGGGCGTTGGGCCTTCTCCGGAATCCACACCTTGAGCTCATCATGCCAAGCCCAATCCAGGTCCAGACCGCGGCCACCCCAGGTCCACCTCCTGGCTTCCTCTCCACTGCTTCCGGCAGCACCAGCATATTCTTGACCTCCGCCAAGGATCCCGGACCTCCTTACTGCCGCATCCCAACCTTCTTCAACTTCTCGTTGTTCTCGGCCTCGCCCAACCTGATCTTGCCGATGCTCAGGTCCCTGTTGTAGCCTTCTCCCATCACTCGGCCTCGGGACCGGCCGCTCTCCTTCCCCTTCACCAGGCTGTCCGGCTCGTCGATCACCTTGCCCGTCTCGTTCTCCTCCAGGACGACGCTCTTGTTGATCTCTTCGACCACCATGTTCATCACCTGGCCGACGGGCCTGCTGATCTCCTTGCCCATCACGTTCTGCACCTTGCCATAGTGCTCGGGCATCCACCATCCGAGGCCCACGAAGATCACCTTCTCGCCCCATCGGTCTGCCGCGCATGGATCCATATCCCTCCACGCCTCTACTGGGCTCTCCACGGCTTTCACCAAGCCGACCATCATCTCCTCGTTGAAGTCCACCATCATTCCCATGTGGTAGCCCTCCACCTTCGTTCCCACGACCCCCTCCAGGTCGCCGATCTCGGTCGTCCAGCCCGGGTTCACGGACATCATCCGGGCGAGGAACGCCTCCACCAGGTGCGACGGACGCTCCCTCAAGGTCAGCCAAGAGGTCCCTCTTCACGTCGCTCCAGAACTCCTCATTCGCCCGGCTGGAAACCGCCTCAGGGTGCTCACCGTTCTGACGATCATCCCTTCCGAGCAGTCCACCATCCGGGCCAGGTTCTTCATGAAGATCTTCTTCTCCACCCAGCTTCTCATCTGCCCCGGCACCGGAGGCAGCCCACTCGGTCGGCTCGCCCTCAGCGCCGCTTCATCTCGCGCGCGTTGACTCCAGAACGGGTTTACATCCACCCGTCGCCCTTGTGCTTCTTCCCCAGCGTGTGGCTGCCCCTCCTCCAGCTCGCCCTCGGCCTCCGCCACCATGATGCCCATCCCGGCATCCACGCTGCGGGCTCGCCTCCTCCGCATGCCAGCATCCATTGCACGGCCAGAGGAGCTACGTCTTTGGGCTCATAACCCTTATCGGGCTAGCAACCTTTTTCTCTGGCTGCTTGGTACTCAAAGGAGGCTATCGGTTCAACACAAATCCAACAGGCCAGGAATTCGGGAAGACCCGTGCCTAAAACATAATATATCGTGATTTGCTGTGCTGAAAGCTCTTGGCCGAGCAGAGACGTCCCACCACCCCCAACCACCAAATCGTGGGCGTCCCAACGTCGTAGCGTTTGGGCGCCTTCCCCTCATGCCCGGGCAGGCATAATCGGCACCGGCCTGGTTGCGGCCGGAAAATGGATGTGCGTGCAGCGAAAGTGGCTTGCGCCGAATGCTACCTTCGCATGGCCCGGGCTCAACAGGCTTGAGTCATTGAGAGAGGGAACACCGGTTTGGGCATAGTCAGGATTCTAGGGGGAAATCCAATTCCGAGCCACTGCCAATCCAGATGGCAAAGAAGAGGACTAATTTGCGGCTTTGAACACCAATGGGTCGAAGTGTTGTTGCCTGCCCTCCCAAAAACAATCTGGCACGGGATCCCATCGAAGGACAGATGATCCAAGATGCCCCTGTTAAGTTATTTTTCTTGGGACAACTTTTGGTGACTTACTTGTTATCACTCTTAGACATATGTGCTCCGCCCTGTGAAACACAGGGTTCGCCGTATCCCAAACAAAGGGACCAGAGATGGCAACCTGGAAAGACAAGCGGATCCAGGGGAAAAGCGGCCCTACATCGTATAGTATACATTGGATAGCTAAGTAGCAACGTACCAGTTTTTGCATTGGAAGTGAAGTTAGGGCCAGTGGAAGGTCGTGCGTTGTGGGTTGCCTGATTTTTGCGTGACCTCGGGCTCAAAAGGGAGCATATTTCAACTAGCCATCCAAGTCGGCAGCATCGTAGCGCTGGAGCCCCGAGTCGGCCGGTTGGCAGTGGAGCCCGCACGCGCATGGAGACTGAGGAAATCCCGCTGTTGAATCGTGTCAAAGTCGCACTAACACAAGAGATTCTTTGTCTGAATGGTTCCAACTCGATACCAAAGAGCAAGCCAAACATTCGAAGTGGTCTAGATTCCACAGTCACAGACAGGGCCACACAGAGTAACTCTGTAGATCCGGCGATGCTACTTGTCCTACCTACCTGCAAGCTCAGCTTTCTCTAACCCCCGGCTCGTTTGCTTTTTGTGCCTTGAACATACATGAGGAAGAACCTCGGACAACAACGCACACTCTTGCAGCTCTTGATGGGCTGCAAGTGCTTATCGCCACAACTTGCCTTGTTGTGGCTATGTCTTGCGGTTTGCCTTGTGGCCCCATCGTGCCTCCCTGTCTAGTTGGGCCTGCCGTTTTGCGCTTCCGTTGTCGAAGGCTCAATGGAACCCCGATCTGATGGATAAACCAGCAGTTGGGTCTTGCTTAAGTATAGGAAGCGACAGGGGCGTGGGCGAGCGGCGGTCCATTTGCCGGAAATCGAGGGAACCCTCATGTAAGAAAATGGCGCTACGTCAGGTAAACGGTCAGTAAGCCCGGTTGTAACCCACTGAACGGAGACTTGAAACCATGGCTTTGGTGGGGTGTAACCAGGCTTGCTAACCACTTACCTGACGTACCTTGCTGGTTCAAGTAGGGGTATTTGGGACCCACTGTCAAAGGGCTACATTCGTCATTCGTCGGATTCATCCCTCAAGCGAGCACGAGCCAAGGCGATGGATCAGACCGAGAAAGCGTTTCAGAAGCAGGCGCAAGAACCTCCCAGCGTGTCGAGTTCGGCTGTGGGCTGCCGCGGCAGGGGAGGGGGGGGGGAGGGAGTTGATTGGAGCCGTGTTAAGCCCGGTTCTTTTCTTTGACCGTCGACCTGGGGACCTGTTTTTTTTTTTTTTTTAGCACTAGCATTGCAAGACACCAATGGTTTGTTCGGACACTGTCCAAATGAGCTTCATGCACAGATCTATGTTGATTTGAGATACTTAGGTGTGTGTGTGTGTGTGTGTGTGTCAACGACGTGACGACTGCAAATTGGGTTGATTCCCTTGCTTTCCCCTCAACACCGTTCAAGAACGCACAATTCCCCGGCTTTAACAAGCCACAATTTTGATACGTCTTTCCAGGGTGGTTCTTCTGGCACTTGGAAGTGAGGCAGTTTCCATGACGCCAGGATGCTGTCTTCATTGGCGCCAAGCGACTGTTGACCAAGAAGTCCAAGAAGGCGGTTCGGCACCGCGCTCGGCTGCGCCTTTTTGGCCCCTCATGAAGTGGACGGTTTCAGCACCGGGTTCCTATCATGATAGGAGGTAGGTAAGGGTTCGCTTGGGAAATGTTGAATAGAAACATCTAGCATGATATTGTAGGGAATTGGCCATCCCCTTAAGCTTGACTTGAAGTATGACTCTTTGAAAAAGTGTTGGGAAGATCCATTGTTGTGACCAGCGGTTGTTAGTTAGCCAAGTCAGGCGTTACCGATTTGTATGTTGGCGTTGTCGATGTGACTTGGGGTGCGATGTGACTGTGTGCTTGTTGTTTTTTGTTCAAAACACTTTCACACCATGATATACCCCAATGAATTGGTGAGACCCTGGCAATTCTAAACTTTGAAACACAATCCTAAACAAGTGAACAAGCGGAACACAATTGGGTTTGTGAACCAAGACACGTAAGCCTTGGCATAGCTATGATTTAGTTCGTACTTAATTAACTGGCATAATTCGTATTGACGATGGCTACAGTTAGCTGCACTTGGCGCGTCGCACATCTGTGGGCCTTGCAAAGCCAAGAGCTTGCAGCATCTCCGGCCTCTTAGGAATAAACACCCTGCACTTCTCAACCAAGCTTTCCAATGTTTCATGGAGCTGCTCCGAAGCAGCCGGTGTTGGCCGAAAGCTGGACAAGCGGGCCTCCTGTTATTCTCAACCCCGCACCTGACTTGTGTTTACCTTTTGGTTTATGCCCCCCCCACCCACAAAAACAAAAAGGAAAAAGAGAACGAAAAAACACCAGGTTGCGGGTTGCTGGTCACACCCCTCGAGGTGTACATCCGAGTCGGTCCGAGCGGCCGAGTCCGAGTCCGACTCGAGGTACTGGCGCAGCGTGGGGCTGGGCTTCCCCACGCCCAAGGAGGCCAAGGAAGGCGAGGGAGTCGGGGAGTCGGACGCGGATGGATGCCTCGCACGCTTTGACGAAGAAACTTTTCCACCGAAAACAAAGCTTTAGGAGAACATGTTCGGGACGTGTCGGTTTCTCAGTGACCAAACATCCAAAGCGACAGCCAATTGTCTCTGCTGTTTCAGGCATTGGTTTTGGATGAAATCAATGGTCAACCGGAAATCCAAAGCGACACCAAAGCGACACCTTAATTTGTTTGGCCTGTTTCAGGGAGTGCTTTTGGATTCTTTGGGTGGGGTGCAGCGAGACAGGCTGGACTTTTGGTCTTCCCGGGGTTGGGCAGGGGTCCCTCATGCTTTAGGACCTCCCAAAGGGCAGTTTGAATGGACCCCACTAGTATCCTGCAACTTTTGCAGGGGACCCCTTTTGGGTGAAGTGTGTGTTTCTGAAAGGAAGAAGGTGGTTGAAGCCTGCGTTCCACAGGAGCTTTGGAAGGAGTTATTATCAGCTCACTTTTGAAGGGAGAAAAGGGCTCATGCCGAAACAACTCCAAATGGGCGTAAATTTCCCAGGTGTAGTCCCAGGGTTCTAGGGGTCGATTTCCCATTCTTTTCACGAAAGCTAGCTTTAGCTAGCTGAAGTTTCTCCTTGCGTAAGCAAGGTGTGGCTCAGTGTTCAGCAGTCTCGGTTTGCCCGTTTTGGACTTGGTGCTACGAACTTTTACATGTTCCACCGATTCAGCTTGTTCATTTGAGACCTCAGTCTTCTCGGTAAACCACCTCGCAAGAATCTTTGCACACGCAGCATGCAGAACCCAGAGGTGCTTTAAGACAGCTTCTGACGCCTCTCGTTGCTTTCATTTTTCAAGGTTTGCCACGCCACCATGTGCGTTTGCGTGTCGCATCCTACGAATCTTGCCGGGCCTCTCGTTGTACACAAGCTACCTATGAATCCACTCTGTCACCGACCCATCTCATGCAACAACTGCTAGCTTTCGTTCACCTGCTCCTCAAGTCAACCATCACTCTTGTCGAAAAAAAGAAAAAAGAAAAACATGTCCCCGTTTTGTTTGCGATTTTCAGGAAGAATGCTTCTGGCAAAGAATTGAGACGTGACCTGTAGGGTGCTTTGCAAAAAACTGACCTCTCCAACCTGAAGGATGTTACTCGCAACTCGTACCCCGTCGCGTTCTGGTTCAGGCAACTTTGTGGACAAGAAGTGCCCTTTCACCGGGCCCGGACCTCAGCTCGAAAGAGACAAATCGCACAAACGTCCATTTGCTTAAAAGTTAATGGTGATTTGAACGGTGATTTTGTTGGCCCGTCAGATTTTGGTGATTTCAATTTTCCGTTTAAGCCATGAATGGTTTGATTTCTATTATGTTCATGGCTTAAAAGGCCAATGCTCATGACTGGTAATTGTATCCTTTTTGAGTGGCACCGAGATTGCCTACGGAAGACTAGAGCTCTATGGATATCCCCCCGCGGTGTTCTCCTGCGGCACTTTCGCCAAGGGCCCAACCCTCAACATAATGCTATGAAACAAGGGTTGTTTGCGGCTTTGACACCCGGCGAAGATGCGTGTGTTTGCGTGTTTTCTTTTTGTTTTTTTTGTTTGTGTGTGTGTTTGATTGTGTCTGTCTGTGTCTGTCGGTGTGTTGTGTGGCTCTGTGTGTGTGTGTCCGTGTGTGTCTGTGTGTGTGTGTGTGCTTGTGTGTGTGTGTGTTTGTTTGTGTGTGTGTGTGTTTGTGTGTGTGTGTGTTTGTTTGTTTTTGTGTGTGTCTGTGTGTTTGTGTGTGTGTTGTGTGTTGTGTGTTGTGTGTTGTGTGTTGTGTGTTGTGTGTTGTGTTGTGTGTGTGTGTGTTCTGTGTTCTGTGTTCTGTGTTCTGTGTTCTGTGTTCTGTGTTGTGTGGTGTGTTTTGTGTGTTGTGTTTTGTGTGTTGTGTGTTGTGTGTTTTGTGTTGTGTGTTATGTGTTGGGTGTTGTGTGTTGTGTGTTGTGTGTTGTGTGTTGTGTGTTGTGCGCGTGTGTGTGTGTGTGTGTGTGTGTGTGTGTGTGTGTGTGTGTGTGTGTGTGTGTGTGTGTGTGTGTGTGTGTGTGTGTGTGTGTGTGTTTGTGTGTGTGTGTGTGTTTGTTTGTGTGTGTGTGTGTTTGTGTGTGTTTGTTTGTTTTTTTTGTGTCTGTGTGTTTGTGTTTGTGTGTGTGTGTGTTTGTGTGTGTGTGTGTGTTTGTTTGTGTGTGTGTGTCTCTGTGTGTGTGTGTGTGTGTTTGTTTGTGTGTGTGTTTGTTTGTGTGTGTGTTTGTGTGTGTTTGTTTGTTTTTATTGTGTGTTTGTGTGTTTGTGTTTGTGTGTGTGTGTGTTTGTTCGTGTGTCTCTGCGTGTGTGTCTCTGTGTGTGTTTGTGAGTGTGTGTGTGTGTGTGTCTGTGTGTGTGTTTGTGTGTGTTTGTTTGTGTTTGTATGTGTGTGTGTGTGTTTGCGTGTTTGTGTTTGTGTGTGTGTGAGTGTTTGTTTGTGTGTGTGTGTGTCTGTGTGTGTGTGTGTCTGTGTGTTTGTGCGTGTGTGTGTGTGTGGTTGTTTGTGGCTGTGCTTGTGCAAATGTGTGTTCATTCTTATAATATTATGTGCATGCATCATGCATGCAGGCGAGGGTGTCAGAACCCTTTAACCTGCTGCAAAGAGTGGGCCGCCGAGCTTGATTATCTAAGTGACCAACCTCTTGCGGCTCTTGGCTTCGAAACGCAGAGGTACTGTTCATACGCTCTCATCATTCACACCTCTGCAAGCAAGGAACATGCGCGGCTCCTGCTGAGTTGCCCTCCCCACACCTTAGTGGAAGGAAACACATTTTGCCACATGATTCGGATCAACCCCCATGTCATGTCTGTGATCATGACTTGAATTCGTGTTGTGGTAGCCCGCAAGGGCAAACATGTTGTTATTGTTTGCACTTCAGTACCTTGTGAGGACGGTGTTGAAGCGAACCAAAAGGGCGGGCCTCCTTGGTTGGGAGTGAGGCCTTGTTGCAGGCTGTTTGCTTGATTTTCGCTCGCCATGCTCAGCATTGAAACGGAAGGTAGATCAAGGCCCCCAATGTTGCTTCCTATGGACCCGACTGGACCTGGACCCGATGGATCCAAGAGCTGGCTGAGGAATGTGAGCATCCGCGGCGCCATCCTGAAGGGCATGTGCGTCTCCACCAAGATGAAGCTCTGAGCTCGGGGTGAACACGTGTCCTTCAAAATCAATAGGTACCCTCCCACCAATCAACATGGAACCTGACAGTGGGGTTCTGGAGGAGCCTTTTCCTTTGAAAGGGATTCCGTGTTAATTGGTGGAAGGGTAAAGTGGTGGGAATCCTCAGGTTTGGTCCAAATTGGAACTCAGATGAGGTGAATCACGGCCGGGAATCAATGTTGACTCCTTCCAGATGGATCACGGAATTGCGAATTAGTCAAAGATCCGGGACGCGGTTCGAATCCACGGAGTTATGGGATGATGGTGGTAACTGGGTCAAAATTGAAGCACCAGGGGACGTCAAGTGGTGGTTCTTGCTCCTTTGAGCATTTGCTGGTCCTGGATGCTGCAGAATTGTCACCCACAGTGGTGAGTCACTGGGGTTGTGTCTAAATGGAGTCTTATTTGGCTTCCCACAAAGCTCTCCAAATCTGCCATTGGCGGAGGGTCCCCTATAATGTTCGGGAGTCACACATTTGCACAAATGTTCGGGAGTCACCCATCAGCACAAATTGTCAATAGCAATCTTCGAGCGAGGTAGTTGTATCAAAAGCCAGAGCCAGATTATGTGTTGCTGACTCAGTCCTACCATCAGGTATGTGAATGCATTCTTGCTTGAGTGGTGTGCCTGCTTCTACACACTTTCAAGTGACTTCAAGCCCAGTGCAGTGATTGGCGGTTTGAGGCGAACCATCATCATCCGGCGCAACTACCTGCACTACATCAAGCATCGTGCTCAGATTGAGTACCGAAATTGAGTGCTTTGCCCATGTTTTGTTCAGCAACAGCATGGGTTACCGCCTGCTTCAAGAATCCGCAGATAGAATAAGGGAACCCTTGAACAGATTTGTTTAGACTCTTTTGAGGGGCCCAGTGCGCGTGGAAGGTATGCATGCGCACATGTTCTACCTGCGGGGAGAACCAATAGTGCCACGTTCCTTGTGTTGGGGGGTATTGATCCATTTCAGGCGACAAGTCTGACAATGTGAAGTGATTGGTATGGGGCTGCCTGACAAGCAAGTCGTGGGTCAACAGAAATAATCCGAAACAGCTGGCAATCAGAATCGGGATCCAGTGAGTACGCTTTAGTATTGTTTGAGAACAACCTCCCAAACAGGTCTTTGTATTCCCTTTTTTCCTTCTTATATCAGCCAGCATGCTTTTGCGTTTTGTTTGTGATCCCTTTCTATTTACTAGTCACTATCCAACATGCAGAGACGGTCATTCTACCTGAACATGCTTGGCTTCGAATCTCAATAGCCCCCTCAAACTCGTTTCATGAACATGCATTCCCATGCAAATGATGTCCATGAAGGGTCCCGAATTCACAATCCTGTTTACAGTAGCGTGAGACTGCCAGTGAGAAGCGCTTGAACTTAGGTGGCCGTTTTGTGATGCCTGTTGCTCAGGAAGTTCAACCGCTTCGAGAAGCGTCACAACAACATCGCGGTCCACTGCTCGCCCGCCTTTGAGCCCAAGGAGGAGCGAACAATTCGGCCGCTTTGGGGTGGCTTGGTACCCAGTTTGTGGTTTGGGTTTCAGGGAAACCACTTCGGGATTCATTTGTGGTAGTTGGTATCCTTTTTGGCCGGGCCATCCAAGGAAACTTCATCATTTGTGGTGGTTGATCCTGTTTGGCCCGGCATGATACCGCTGCCCAGAGGTTTGAGCTTTCCACGGTCGAAAGAACGCCCATTGGCATGGAATGCGCCAATTGGTCCCTTCTCGAAATGATTAAGCATTCAAGATAGCGGCCCTCACTCTTCATTTCAGGATATGGATGAAGGTTTGAAGTTTGCGGGGCAGCTTGTGCCAGCATCTTTTCTGCACCATGCACACACACACACACAAAGCAAGCTCGCCGGGCAGCAAACCCCCTCGCACCGCCCGAACGCGTGTTGAGTATACAACTCTTGGAGGTTGCTTATTTGGATAGGATGTGTCCAAAAGAGGGGACACCCGACTTCCAACCGCTTGGTTTCCTTGCAATTGTAAATGGAGTTGTGAAGGGGGTTAATAATTGGAATTTCCATTTGCAGTTCTACTCTTCCTTTTGCTGGGAAGACTAGCCACATGGAATTGGGGCCCCCCCCGCCCCCCCCCCCCTTTTGAGGTGGGTTGAAGACATGGTGCCGCGTAGGGCGACATCATCACGGTGGGTCAGTGCCGGCCACTGGCCAAGACCGTGCGCTTCAATGTGGTCAAGGCGGGTGGATCGGTTGGGCATCAGGTCGCAGAGCTTGCGTTTGAAGCATTGCCCTTCCAAACGGAGCTTTGTCACGGTTTTCTCATAGCCCTGAGTCACACAGTCCTAGATATGTTTCGGAGCCCTGAAAGGTTCCATGCTGGAGGGTGGAAGCGCTAGAAGTCTCTGATTGTTAGGTACCGATTTTCTTTGCATCCAACAACATACAGATGAATCGAAGCGTGTCACCTCTAAGTTGGTGATGAATTCTTTTTGGATGACATGTAGTGATGGCCAGTCGCCAAATCGCCCGCAAAGTCCGAAGCACATATTCCGTGCGCGCCACCTGTTCGTGAGCATTGTGACCTTCAGGCCCTGGAAAGTTGCACGTCAGTGGCGTGTGGTTGTCCATGAATCCGCCGGTGAGGGTAACGTGTCATTTGCGGCTGCTTTGGTGGGCATGCGCAGGTGGACAAGAACCAGATCTTTGGATCAGCCCGAAAGCAGCTGGAAGCCCAGTGCAAGCGCTTCGCTTTCGTGGCTCGGAGGTGAATGAAGCCTAATCCTCGGAAACCTTGGTGGTATGCAGGTTGCCGCAACCGCTAAGAGTTGCGCTTTGTGGTCTTGGCGGGTTTTTTGTTCACCATCCCATCTTCCAGAAGAGTCATGCGAATGTAACACTTCAGCCAAAAAATAACACCTTTTGCCGCTTGTGTTTTCGCCGATCCCCTCTGTCAAAGGAGATTCTCGTGCAACACAGAATGTGAATGTTCACAATGTTCCCAATCAGCACCCGAACCCGTTTCGGACAACTACATGGTATCCGAAAGTTCCCCTCTGGCATTGCTTCGCCTTTGCGTTTGGTGAATGTCGATCAGGTCAGGGCCTGATTTGTTGCATGAGACACGCAATGAATGCAACAGCCCACGAAGCATCGAACCCTGGAATTGCTCGCGAGGAGGGGAGTAGGATCTGAACCTTTCGCTCAGGTTTGCCCTGTTCTGAGTGTACCGAGAGGAGCCAATGAATGGGATGTGCGGTTGAAAAGATGCTATCCGCGGCCCCGAACGCCGGGCGGGCGAGTGCGAGCGGCAGCCACTCTTTAAGAGGCAAGTGGGGCATAAGCTTGTTTGTTTGTGTGCATGTGTGTGTGTGCTCGTGCGTTTGGGCGTGCGTTTGTGTGCTCGCACGCCCGGGTGCCCGTGCGTGGGTGTGCGCGCGTGCCATGCGCGCATGCGTGGGTTCGTTCAGGTGTGATTGCTTGTCATAAACCAATGCAGGAACCTGGCCCTCTGTTTTGCCACATCCTTATTTCACTTATTTCCTTTCCAGGTTATTTAGGACATCACGTCGTTGCTGGTTAGTTTCAGTTGATAAATGAAGCTCAACCCGACCACAGAACACAGGTGAAGGGATGTTCGTAGGGAGATGGTCAAAGCCCAAAATGGGGGCGTAAATAAAGGCCAGGCATGTACACTGCCACACTGCCAGGTTCGCCACCGACACTTCTCAGACTTCGTTCTTGGATTGCAAAGGGAACTTGTAGTGGTTTCCGAATAGGGACCGTGAGTTCGGATTCGGCAACTCTTTACTTCGAGCCGTCCCGTTGAAGCGTTTTGACAAGGTCAGCTGCAACAGCAGTTCCAAAAGATCACAGCAACACGAGAGTGGATAGCTCACCTGGGTTCCAGCAAACAGATTTGATACGTTTTCTGTGAATTCCCCCTGTCGTTTTACGAATTGTTCCTCTTGCAATACTCTTGTAGTACTCTGTTGCCATCGTACGTGGGTGGATCCACAAAAGCCGCATCCAAACCGTTTCCTAGATGGGTTGGAGATTCTTGTCCTAAACCTTGGTGAAACCTGGATTTTTTGCAGCATGTTCAGATGTTGAGGAAAGGGGAGCTCCATTGCGGCTGAAGACAGTCGCGGGTGAGATCCGGTTGCATGTTTGTCCTTTGTCAAGATGCGAAAGAGAAACACTACAAATGAGCCGAATATGAACAATGTTGATGAAGTGGGAAGATGCTGGCGGGCATTCATGATGGCTCTGCCGTTGCATAGGTCGCCGTTTATGAACGCCTGACTAGGAGTTTCATTGTCCTGCAGTAAGCGTTCCTTGCAAGCAAGCATGAATACAGCCTTGCTGCGTTTGTGAGGGTCGCAAAACATCGTCAAGTAACAGTAAACCTTCACTCTCAAGATGGCAGTGTAGGGGAATCTCCTTTTGGGCGAACCCTTTGCTGGGGTTCGATGTTGCTTATCCTGGAAGAAGTTGTTCATGGAGGTTGTCAACACGATGCATCCTTTTGCCCCTTCAACAGCCGTACAGAAGGGACAACAGCGGTACTCGTACAACATGATTCTTGGTCTGAGGAGGGCACCAACAGTGGTCCGGTAGGAATCTGGCAGCTGGGCATGATAGTAGCCACGTACACGTTGTTTATACTTGTCGGCTGTGGTGCTTGGACTATTCAAACAAATAGTCCTCCCAGCCCAGCCCCTTCATTCCATCAGCAAAAACAACTGGTCCCGTCTAAGCAAGGCGTCCAGTGGTGCTTTGCTTTCTCGCGTGAAGGGATTTGCAGACAGGCCATCAGCGACATGAGCCTTCACAACCATCGACGGACAAAACCAATCCCACGCCTGAAGACGTGAAGGGTGATTTTCCGGAAGAACCATGCCGTATGTGTCAAAGCCAGAGGCCGTCTTTGGGCGGAATCCAACACTGACCATCCGTTGACATGCAGTCTCAAAGAGGCTCTCTACCATCTCACGGGGTCCCTTTGTTTTCTCAAGTTGGACCAATAGGAAGTTGATTGACACGCCCGCAGGTGGAGCCAACACAGGCAGCTGCCTCTAGCAGAGAGTGCGAGGAGAGTCGTTGGGCGGGGCAATTTGTCTGGTAGGGCAATCGGAGACCGCACCCTGCAAACGCCATCTGCTCAGGAGAAAAGGCAATCCATGGCCCAAGTAGGTACTTGCTTGGGGTTGGAGCACGACTTTTGGTGGATCGTGGATAGTTTTACAAGGAAGTGTGTTCTCTTTGAATGGAAACCAGGGGGATCCATCAAAGCCGGGGTCACCTTTGCCGACTTCAAGGAAATCGCCAAAACCAGGGGAGGGAACGAATCGCTTGGCTTCACAGCAAGTAGCATATGTTCTTGGCCAGTGAAGACATGGCAGTCGCTCGGCGGACATGTATTTGTTGCGAGATTTGACCACACATCTCAGACAGGTGCTTTCTAAAATTAGGGGCCCCCTTCTGGCCGATGTTCAAACGAAAATAATCTGCATCGGCCATTTAAGCGTCCAATTCCCATTTCGGGACGCGCCCAAATGTTTGTTTGTACGACCTCTTCTCGCTCCGAGCTCTTCAGGACACCCCTGCAGCTTCGCGGGGATCCCAGTTGCAGCTGCCGCTCTGGAACTTGGTGTCTTTTTGCGCCAGCTCTTTTGCCCGGGAATTTGACGATTACACAGGGTGTTCCCAGTGCTGTTTCAATTCGGTGGACTGTTCTTCTGTGCTCGCCTGATGTTTGCGTATAGGGCACGCCGCGCAGCTGATTGCACATTCTCAAAGCAATCAGGCTGCAGACGGTGATGTCCGCAACAAACCGCGGGTTTGTCACTTGTGCGAGTTGCCAATTCACGGAGACGCAGGTTGTGTTCTGTGTTATCACAGAACAGTATATCGGATGAATTCTGATCTTCTGATTACCCCGGTGAGCAAATTTCGCATATGGCAGGTTTCCAACAGCCAGTCGATGATGCTTGTTAAGGTCCGAAGGGGGCTCTTAAGAAGGTCCTGTCTGACAGGCGTACATTGGGTGGATTCGATTGGGTCATGACAACCAATACCTCTCAGAATTCAGCACTCGAGATGACTCTCAACTAAGATCTAAACAGGGCTCGACAATTGCAAGGCTTGTGCCGCTTGCCCACGTTGGCGCCTTTGGAATTCCACTGGACACAAGCGACTTCGTGAGTCTTTTTGGATGATTTTGGCAGTTCCCACATTTGAGGGTGTTATTTGACGGTACCCCAAATTTGGATTAATTTGTTTAGGCGCATTGAACGGGGACACCGATTTGGGGTTCTCCTTTGAGACAAGGCCATGGAGCCTCTTGAGGTCAGCCACTCCGGGCTGTGCCGGCACCGACGGCAGCGATGCGTCGGCCTCGACGCGCGCCAGCTCTGAGGACGGAAGCTGCGGTGACAGCGGTTTGTCTCGTGTCCAAATCGGGGACCCCCAAAATGTGGTTTCCCTGTGGAGGCTTGAAAGGGTACCCTCAACAACCGCACGCCCAAATTTGCACCATGGTGAGTCAAGGAACCCTTTTACTTGGTGGGGCATGGCCCCCTTTTGGGTAGGCTAGTGGGGTTTCCTACGAAGGCAAACCTGATCACGCCCCATTCAATGTCGGTTTGTCTCCACGTTGCCGGAACCTCAAAATGTGCTGAGTTTTCATCCCTTTGGTTTCCTTTTAAACATACCCCAAAAAGGGTGCAGTGCCTGAACAAAAAGGCACATCCACGAGGGGACGATCAACATTTGGGGTATAATACCGGGGTATATGAGGGTGACAGTCATGAATCAGCGCAGCAAGAAACCCTTTTAGTTGCTCTCATGATTTTGGGTTCTACCACTATGCGGATGTATCTTGGAGCCTCATGTATGATTTGCTTTGTACTAGTTTATCCGTCTTGGTTTCCTTTCGACCAACACGAGGTTGTCCAAACAAAAGACATGCCTAAGGTGTGTCAAGTTGGTTTAGTCTAATTGGGCTGTTACCCTCTGCCACGCGTACCGCCCAATGCCCGCAGGAACCTCCGGATGAGGAGAAGGCACAGTTGGCGGCAGGCGGCATGTCCCAGACATCCTGGGCGGGTAGCAAAGCCGGCTTTACCTCACTGCTCTTGGCATGGTTCCAATTCTTTGGCGGGAGCCCATGATGGATTGGTGTTGAAACTGCAAAGGTACACCAGTTGATCTGCAGTTTGAATGGCATTTGGTACACATGGGCATGTCGTTATACGCTGTACTCAATTTGCTATCATCATCTACATTCATACCAGTCCTGCATCATTGCACAAAGTCAAGATCTAAATGCGAACGATGGACATGTTTGGTCTCTCGTGCTGCGCCAGTTTGTCAGTTGCTCTCCAACAACATAGTATTTGTTCGGACCCTTTGGTGGACATCATGTGCATATCATAGGGATTTGTGCTCGCCAAACATGTTTGAGAGTGCTCCTCGATAAACATGTCAGGTCCTAGCTATCTGAGAAACTAAAGTGGAGACTCTTCAACTGCATGCGTTCATGAAGTATACAACGATGTGGCATGCAAGGGCTTGTGAACTGGGGGAGGTTGACCATTTGACCACATTTGACTCAGTTGCCCAGTGGCACCATTTGTTTTTGTTTTTTGGTTGGGTGTGATTTTGTATGAAACGAAGACACGGCCTGTTCATTGTTTCTTATGGCCACTGGGGCCAGTTGTGCCGAGCCTCTCTTCCAGTATTTTTTCCCGGACCTGAGCGAACACGGCCGATCGTTTTGAGGTGCGAAGAGGTTGATGGAAGAGATGGGCTGGAGACGGGGACAGGCATCCGAGACCAGATGGGATCGATCGCCCGGAGAGCTGATTCAAGGTTTACCTCCGTCCCTATGGTAACGACTCCCTCATTTGCTATGTGTTTGGTGCACATGTAATGCAATCACCATGTCTTTGAACTAGTCAGACCCTTGCAGGAGCCCCAACAGCCTAATCCTTTTCCGCCAAAGGCGAGCCCGACAAATGCACTTCAAGCAACTGGTCTTTAGTCGAGGAGAGGGAAGATTCGATGGTGACTAACTTGCAGAATTTCCTTTGCAGCCATTGACGCCTCACTTTGAAAGCTTTGCCGAGACCCATGTGAGCTGTAATCGAGCTGTTTGCATCTGTCCATGTGAAGCACATTGCCAGAGTCCAAAAGGGCTCTCATATTCTGGCCACAGAGGGCAGAAACAGTTCCATGAAGGCTTGCACCTGAAGATCATGGATTGGCAAGTAACGAGGGCAAGCAGGTCTGTGTGGCATTGATCAAGCTCCTTAGCCATGTTGCCGCGCGATCCTTTCTATCGCCGTGCGATTGAGACATTGAGCTTTCACCCTGACCCCTACTGGGGACAGCCAAGTAGCAGCGTGGATTGGTGCGAGAAGAACTATGAGCACACGAGGTATGTGGCTGAGTTCTTCAACACCTTGTCTTCCTTGCCCATGTTAGTTGTCTCCATCTGGGGCCTATGGCTCTGTGTGAGGTACCGCCTGGAGCTCAGGTTTTACCTTTGCTGGGCCGGGATCGGCGTGGTGGGCATTGGATCCGTGGCCTTCCACGGGACGCTGCACCCGGCCGGCCAGGCCACCGACGAGCTGGGCATGATCTGCGCCAGCCTGGCCTTTCTCTATGTGGTGCTGCTCGCTATGGGAATTATTCAGAAGCAACCCTTTGGGGTGACGGGTGGGGTCAAACAAACAAGTTGGAGCCAACACACACACACACATCAAAGGTAAGAATATTTGGAACCAGGTGTTTATTTCAATCAACAGCTGGAACCAACACACAGCAGAGATAAAGGTTTGGAAATATGGTTCTATCGAGAAGGCATTGCGAACTCTGCGTTTCGAGCTCATATGGCTGTGTGTCCAAAGCAAGACCCTTCTTGGCGATGGTTTCAACAGGGAACACGCAGAACATCAGCCGTGTTGAGCACCCAATGTTGACACGAACGGATTTGCATGTATGTCTTCTGGAGTTAGTGTTTAAGTTTCCAGACAAACCAAATGGAATTTTAGAGGGTTTCCAGGCTGGAGATCGGTCACTTGGAGGCTCGCCGTCCTTGGCTGCCCGCAGTTGAGTGCAGCTATGCTCTCGGCTTCGCCATCGCATATTTCACCTCGCCCTTCTTCTTCCCGGTCTTCATAGCAATGCAACGCGGTGTTTTCCTTCAGCCTGGTTCCAGTTGCCGTAGGTAGCCAGAGGGAGCCAGTAAGAGAAAAGGAACCCTCGTTGCAGTGGCAATCAAAAGCACGCACTCGTTGCCAGGCTCACTAACAAGGGGCCAATAAACAACGCTTCGGTTGTCATGTCAAGCAAAGTTTTTTGTTGCTTGTGGCTTTTGACATCTATGTTTGCCTTCAACCCAAGTGATGACTTCCCACTGAAGTGGACAGCAGGGGAGCCGGGGGGGAGGGGGGCAGGCTGCTCTCCTCCCATGGCCACTGAGCAACCGAGGTATGCAGCGACAGTGCTGCTCATCATTCAGCAAGCTTACCGGGTGTACCAGCTTTACGCCAGCGATGAAAACGCCTCTGCAGCGTGGCAGCGATGTCTATTCTGGATGGCCGCCATTGGATATCCGGCCGGCTTTCTCTTCTTATGGGTTCCTGAGAATGCGTTGTGCCCCTCCTACCCCTGGTTGTTCCAGCGTTTGCACCTACACGCACTGTTCCATTTGGTGACCACCATGTCGCCCTACTGCTACGTGGTCTTCATGACCTACCACCGGTGCACCGTGCTCAAGCGCGACGCCGAACACCGCATAGGACTGGGCTTGGCCTATGTCCATGTCAAGGCCTCCGCGTGAACTGATCAGACTGCTGCGGGCGCTGTGCGATAAGACGGCATCCAAGACAAAGTTTCGGTTGCTTAGGTGCCCGTTACTAGTGATGCGGCTGTGCTGTCGATCTAGTGATCACGTGACCGTGAATCAGGCTGGGCAACGCTTGAAATTGGCAACCGTCCAACTAACCGAGCGTCAGGGAAGAATTGCGAACAGTGGCAATGGTCGCGAATGGCAAATGTGCGGCGCGTCGGAGAATGGGCCATTTAGAGCTCAAAGGCGATTGTCGGAATGGTGTCAGAGTTATCTGCTTCCTATTGTAGGGGCAGTTTTACGATTGAGAGTCTGCTTCCATGTACTCAGGGTCTCTAGTTTCGACCTACAGTCAAACAGCATCTCAACGTCGGCTTTTGTTTAGATTTTACGTGAATGCATAAGGCAGGGGTTGCAGTCACAGTGTGGAGTTTGCTTGCCGACAAAGAAGGGCTTTGGGCTACCCTGTGTTTGCTGTAGAAAGTGCGGAGGACAGCCTGCCTTTGCCCACTTTCCCTTTGCCTGAGCCACCAAGTTCTTGCCACCCAGTCTGTATTTGTCCAGGGTGACACGGCCAGCCGTGTGTGACGATCTCCGTGAACCTCAGTTTTGCAACAACTTGGAGGTGCGTGAAAACTTGGGCCCAACAGGTTCGCGTTTTTAGGGTGTTGCTAGTTATTTGGTTGGAAGCATTTGCCACAAACTAACGGTGTGCCTTCAGACTTGTTCTTTTGTTCAGGTCCTTTGTAGGCTTGCTTTGGTTCTGGGATGGGGCTTCCTACTGTAGAGAGCCTCCCCGGGACGAATTAGTCACAGGGAAGTTCCAATGGCACAGAAGTTGGCGATTCAAAGACTGTTTTGATGTCCCCTTCAACAGACGCCCCTTAACCAGGCCAACTTCTAGATCTCAGCAAGTTACGAGAAGGATTCACAATATGCAGGGAACCTTGTTCCTTTGGTTGACTACGTTGGACAGGGGAGGCTGTCAACTCGGATTTCCATCACCATACACGCATATACACACACCACAACAACATAGGCCGAGTGAGAAACAAGCGGAACCTTTTGATTAATTCCTCAAAGACAAATCGCCGACGTGAGCTCCGATCCCTTGCTTGTGGCGGGGACAACAAACATGCCTCTGGAAAGAGGGCCCAAAATGCAATTGATGCGAGGCGTAAAGAACAGGCTTACACCGCTTACACATTCTCTGTACCAGGGGCAAAGCATGCAATAGATATAAACATAAACAACACGGGTATTTGTCAAAAAAAAAAAAAAACGGCACGCCCTAATCGGACGGCTTGCCGCGTGACGTAAAGCAAGGCAAGAATGGTAATGATAACAGCAAGAATAATATCAATATTAATAATGATAATTATAATACTAGAAGTACTAATGATAATACTAACTTAATAACAATAACAATAATAGTAAACAATATTGATTAATGAAAAACAATAATAACAACAACAAACAAACATAAATTATAATGATAAACGATGGTATTTACACATACAAACACACACCCACACACTAACACTGTATATATACTCTAAAATATGCGATATATAGACTGGGAGGCGTCCCGGGACCATGGCCTTGACGGAGAAGAGGTGGGCAACGGGCGAGGGGGGGCACCAGAACAAAACCCGAGGGTGGTGACCTTCGGATTCCCTTTAGCTTTCAATGTTTATGCCAGCTTGGGAGGACATGGGCGAAAAACTGGTGTGAGGCGAACACCTCGTGCTTTATGTGCATCTTGAGTTTGTTGCATGGTTTCAGCAATGATTGGCCTTTGTCGGGGTTTTGGGCAGGGGTTGCGGGGGTAATCCAAGCATGGCACGTTCGACATGCACGTCTTACCAGGCTTTCTGACAGGGCCAAACCTATGCTTTCTCAAAAGGCTGCAGTGTGTTGAGTACTGATTTGTTCTGAACCATGCTGCATTTTCCCGTGCATTCTGCTTCGGGGTGCTTCCGAACTGAGCCGTTTGAAGCCAAGGGTGATCGTCACGCGCCAAACTAGCGGAACCTATCAGGTAAGTCTGTGCTTTCGCAGTCATTTCTTTTGTGGGCAAGCCAGCAGCTGCTAGATGTCATTAGCCCATGTTTCGAGGGGAATGCTTTTTTAGAGGCACGATAGGGCACCAAGGACACTGGATATCTGTGTGACTCTGTATGCCTGGTGTCTCAGTGACCCCTTGCCAAACAAAAACTGAAGGGTTTGTCTTCTGTTGTTGGTATTTGCAGTGGTCTTATTCTTTCTGCTTCCTTTTTCGTCCTATTCCGCATCCTTTAGGTCGCCGAGTGGCGGGAGCAGCATCCGAGCTACCGGCAGACCATCCAGGAGGCAAGGCCACCGGAACGGATTTGGAGTTGCAGGCGAAGTCTTCAGCGAGAACTGGCTTTCTGGTATCTCTCAGCTTCCTAAATGGCGGGTGCCCTTTTGCGTACAGCATGTACAGCTGATGTGTGGAGAAAAACGGCACCAGAATGGCGTCCGTTTTTGGTCAAAATGGCGATGTTGCGTAGTTTGCCTTGCAGGAACGTGAGCGGCTGAGATGGCAGTTCTCGCAGTGGGCTTCCCTGACGCGCTGAGGCGCTTGGGCGACGGCTCAAGGGAGACTTGGAGTCCGAGGTGTGAAACAAAAAGAGTTGGACTGTTTTGGTCATGCGATCCGTTCGTAAAGCCACCGTGAAAGCAGCCGCTGTTGAAACCCAGCATACAACAACGTGAGGTAAGCTGCTGTTTGGACCATTGTCAAACCATCGTAAACCTTGATGAGACAACCAACATGACGCAAAACAATGTTTGGCCAAATTCGGGATCTAACATGAAGCAGGCCAATAGTGGGTGTAAACAGTCAATCAAATCACAAATCACTGTTGTGCTTATTTGAAAAGAGCCTCATTCAGGATCCTCCCGCTGCCAAACAATTCGCACTTTGGCGGACCCACGTTTGCGTTGCGACTATTTTCCTTTCTTCCGAATGCAATGAGGACCTTCGAAAAATCTGAGTACACAAGCCCGAGGGAGGGGTGAAATGGGTCTGTTGCTGGCTGTGATACTGTGGCAACCACGGTTGGCCTTCTCAGCCGGACGGAGCAGTCGTCCCTGCTTTTAACACGCACCTTGAAGATTAACGCACAAGCGGAATTAGTGTATTTTGGAATCTGTGTTTGTTGCGCAGATGAATTATGTGTTGCTGCTGCGGACAGGGTGGGTAATATGTGCTTGCTTGCCTTGGCCACTACCACTGGCAGGATGCTCCTACTCATCCTCTTGCTACAGAAGAAGATAGACGCAGGAGTTCTTTATGGTCAGTGAGTCAAGCGCGAATAGACAACATATGCAATACACGGCTTGCCTTGGCTAACTGCCTTTGCATGGAAAGCTAAACGCCGTCTGGGCAGAGCCAGCTTGTGAAGCCGTGAACAGTAGATAGATGGCTTAGAGTCGCCGGTCAACGCCGGAAAGCGCAAATAAGACAGCAGGAACAACTTATGCGATTCAGATACTCAATGTTGGTCCTGAATTCAGGCCATTTGCAGCTTTGGGCGTATGCGTGTATCAGCTTTGCTGTTGCATCGATTTTGATGGCGATTACAATTGCCAGCTTGCCGACTTACCGAGAAGAGTCACGTCCAAAACCATGTTACATGCAACTATGTTACAAGAGTTACGCAGCCCTCAGTGTCGTGTGGAACTCACTTGACTCAGAGCGCAGAATGTGGGGATAGCGCTGGCTATTCCTGATAGTTTTTTCCTCAGAGCCGGTCTTGGCCCGATGCTCACAAGTGTCATTGGCCAATCATCACACAGGGTCATGTATCCTAGACAGCGACGTGTGGCAGGTTCCAGAAGACATAAGTTTGACCGCTGCACTGGATGAGCGGATTTCTGAATGCGAGGGGTGGTTGAAGGCTCGACCAGAGAGTGACTTTTGACAGTTTCGCCCGACAGACAAAATGCACTCGCTCGTGCGGTGGAGCTTAATGCCAGTTCTTTCAGCACAAGTTGCAAGAATATGGAGCTCTTTTCGCGGTCTTGCTACAAGAGGAATTGATTGTACTTTCTCATTCCCAATCGGGTTGTGTTGTTCTGTTTTGTCAACGACCGTCGGTATGTGCAAGTCTACGCGCTCCAACATGTGGGCATGTGTTAAACAGATAGGGAAGACGTGTGCGCATCCCCATGTTTGGAGTATGTGTTGCATGTGTTTGGAGTCAGAGAGTTGCTTGCGGGTGCTTGAAACGGAAGCCAAAGCAAAACTGGACCCCACTTTGACCCTATTTGAGTACCTTTGGCGTCCTTTGGCCTTCAGCATCCTTGTTTGTGTTGGTTGCTTTGGACTATGTATCCATATCCGGAAGGGTCTTGGATTTGTCCAGTTTGCTTGCTGAGTTCCAGCACAAGCCTAGGAACTTTTAGATCGGCAGACAAGCGCCACAGCAGTCAATGAGACGCAATGTCTTCTGCTTCCATATTGGATGACTTAATCATGGGCCGACTGCCTGCAATTTGTGCAGCATGAGTCCAAGCAAGAAATTCAGCTGCCTGATCGATCATGTTCTCACATGCCAATGCGGCCAACCAACAAATATTCCTAGTCCCTCCAGTAGACTCCTTCAGATAATTTTGTTCTGTGCAGAGTGGTCCCTAGGTTGCACTGGCCATTCGCAACATCACGTAAAAAATGTCAGAGTCTCCGATGCCCATGGCGTGAGCTGAATGGACGCTTCCCGGCGCGAGGCGGCGGAGCCTTTCCTCGAGCGCGAAACGGCGGCTCCGCGCGAGGCGCCGCGCCACTCCAACGCGCCGGAGGATCGGGCGGCTCTGCGGCGCCAGCGGCGCGCTTTCCAGCAGGCGGGAAGTACGTTTCCCCGTGTTTCTTCCGTGTGTTACTCCCCTGCTACCATGCACTAACATGCAACCCACAAAAGGCGTTCCGGCCCCAAACAGAGACCCTCCAATGGTGAGTTGTGTGGTTGCATGCGAAACCGTAGTGGAGTGGAATCATGAATTTGGAAATGTGAAACACTAGCTTAAGTGTTGTGGTTCTAGAACTTGTTCTAGACATCGCCTTTGGGACAATTCAAAGGGTGTTCCCTCTAGGTGGCATATTGTTTGCAGTGAACATAGGGAATCCATTTGTGTGTGTGTGTGTGCGTTCGTGTATGTTGAGGGTACCCTTTTCAGTTTGGTTTAAAGGCCGACCAAAAGGAGTTGCAACCCAACATGTTGCGAGAGTGCCCCCCCCCATTTAAATATTTTTCTGGGAAATGGTCGGTTAGATGACAATGACAATGCCATTTTGGTGATACCCTTTGGGAATTATCCTATAGCATGTTCCGAGAAAACATAAACATGGCCCCCCGTGCAACAATGATCAACTTAATATAAAGTAGTCGCGATTGGTTGGCATCCACCATTCGTCGCTATGGCAGAAGGGACCCCCCCATTTTCCAGTCAAACATAGGGCGAGTTGCTGCGAGCCTCAACATGATCAAGCCAAAGATATGAAAAAGAAGTTGGAAACGGTTCCCTTTGGTCCTTTGGCTTCCCTTGGTTCCCCTTGGTTTCCCTTGGTTTTATTGGCTTCCCTGGTTTTCCGTTTTTTTTAAGATTCCTTTACTTTACGTGGTATCCCTTGGTATCCCTTGGTTTCTCTTGGTATCTCTTGGTTTCCCTACCCTCGCGTTTGGGACACCCAATCTCGGTCCGTTGGACCCGAGGAGAGGCGCCAGGCCTTCCGGGATCGGCTCTTTCATGCGCCTCGAGTTCGACCCAAGGGCTGGGGTTTTTCTCAGCGGGTTTCGGATCAAAATCAAACCAGGGATTGGACCGCAGGAATTTGAGACCGTGTTTTTTTAAAAAAAAAATCCAGGGTTCTTTTTTTGAGAGACCAAGTTTTGACCCAGCTCAGTGTCCAACATTAGAGATGCTGGGCAAAAGGCATCCACCTTGGTGTCTCAGCCTCTCAGTGGGTGCTGCTGAGTTTTTAAGGGTAACTCCCACCTTCCCTTGGGCTTGTTTTCAAAGGGCAAACATACGGAATCCACTCCCCCTTCCATTTCGGAGGTTTAATCTCATGTTGGAGTAAGCCCCTGGGTGTTTTGGGGTCTTTTGGGGCGTTTTGGGCACGTTTGCGCTGATGGGAATCTGCGCAGACGCTTCTACGCCAAGGGTTCCAAACGTGTTCGACCCCCGCGAGGCAAAGCAGAGACACTGTTTTGGAACTTGGGATGTGCAATGCTGCAATATGTATAGTAGAGGGTTATAAAAATTGGCGGTTTCCCTTGTAGCTTCCCTTTCAACCACGCTGAACAGGGTACCCTCAACAAATACGTCCATGTTGCAAAGTGTCCAGAACCTTGACCTCTTTCGACTGGTGGAAACTTGGAGTGCCAATCTCGACATGCCAACAGATGTTGATCCCATGACAGTGACTGGGAAAACCGCGCTCCTTTGTGGGTGCCAAGTGGGCTTCAATGCTTTGTGGCAAGAACTGTCAGGAAATGGTTGTTTCTTGAACGCTCTTGAGAATAGGTCGCTGATTGTCCTAGATGGCTTGAGTGTTATGTGGATATGCTATGCAATTAAGGCCGGCGGTCTGTACCATTTTTTTTTAAGGGTATCTTCCATAGGGGGGCCTTGCATTTCCCTTCTTGTTCACTGGGGGTTCATGGCCATTGAAAGGGCGTTGCCCTTCAATCGTGCAACTCTTGGGCAGGTTCGTTTAATGACACCTGTTCTAAAGCATAATGCACTTGCAACTATGCCGGATCAGGGAGAACCACCTGAGAAGGCATGCGAGTCAAGCGACCGGGCGCTCGCTCGGCAGCGCCTGCCAGGAGCAAGAACACGCGAGCAAGGACACATATAGATATTAATATATATATATATATGTATATTGTGTTCTTTTTGTGGCTTCCGAACCAAACGGAAAGGGTTCCCTCCAGAAAACTAATATGGATGCTCCCAGGACACCTTTGGAAGACTTGGTGCCATGTACAATGTACGGCTGTTATGAGGAGGTGTACTCTCAGAACACTCGCTCACGCGATCCCCATCGATCTCACAAGCCAAGGAGCCGGACATCGATGGCTTGAGGTGCCGCGAGTTCGAGGTGGACCTTCTGCCCGGGGAGCGGCTCTGTGGAGGTGCAAAATGTGAAACGCCCACACCAGAAACCCTTCCCCCTTGAGCAACAACGAGCAGGAGGTAGGAGGTTTCCCACACCCTGTCCCCCCAAAAAAAGAGAGCAAAAAACCTCTTAGGCAACAACAAGCAGGAGGTTGCTTAAAGAATGGTCCAAACATGTAGGTTGGCCCAGAGGTGAGCCCATCCGCGTGAAGCTCACGAAGACCATCTCCTTCTGCCGCAGGCTCTTCCTGAACCTGACGCCTGGCTTGGGTCAAAAACCGGAGGCCGTTTTTTGGTTCCTAGTTGCTGTGGGTGGACACGGACCCCCTTTCAAGCAATGAAGTCATGGGGCGTGGCGTTCGGTAGTTATGACTTGGATGTTCGACAACCATGGGAGGGGGTTGTTTCACAGGATCCAACCCCCCTCACATGGTTTTTGGAAAGGCCTAAGGGCCTTAATGAGACTTTGTTGGAGTCTTATTTTTTCACAGGAGGAGGGGGTAGGGTTGGGGAGGGGGTAGGGTTCGGGAGGGGGGGTGCATCAATTGTTGTTTGGATTCTCAACAAAGTTCAATGTCATTGGGCAACATGAGTACCGACCTGTGGCTCATGCTTGTATGATTTTGAAAGGACACCAAAAGGAACCAACCAACTGGAGTCCTAGTTTTGAGCAAACAGCTAGGTAAAGAAATAGCGTGACCCCCCAAAACTGCAACTTCTTCCTCTTGTTTTCCCTTTACTCGTACACCTTCCACTTGCTGGTTCTCAAAAGGCGGGGAATGAGTTGGGGAATGGCCCCGTCTTTTGAAAACCATCTTAGCTGGCGGTTTCGTTTTTCCGGGAAGCCGCCAATCGATTCCCGGATTCGCACGTCGAGTTCCTCAGGATCTCCTGTGGCCTCTACGAGCTTTGGGTTCGCTGCGCCTGCGGCAAGCTCGTCTTCGCCGTGGACGCGCGCATCGGGGTCACCACGTTGGGGCGGCTGATGCTGTGGACCCACACCGCAGCTGGAGGCGCGGGGACCGAGTTGCGTGCGTTCAACCGACCCCCCGGGGTCTTTCATTGTCGTGGATGGGGGGAACCAAGACCAAGAGCAAACTAAATGTGTTGTGCTTTTTTTGAAGTGGGGGGGTCCTTTTAGTTCCAGTTGATTGGGTTGCGCTTTGCGCGGCTTCCCTAAAGATGGCTTTATGTTGCTTCCAAAAAACATGTAGGACACTCCAGTTGCAGGACAGCGACGTAATAGTTCGGAGATTCAATCATGCACACGGAATGGGAGCATCGAAACATCGGCACCCGAACAATGCTGCTTTTCCCTCTGTGACTCCCTTAGATTTCAACCCGAAAAAGGGTGCCCTCAAAACGAGATGCCTGAATGAATCCAACTGCTTTGCTGCCCCCAAGCCATGCTTGAGCTTCGATTAGCAATTCTGACACCTTCTTTGAGGAGAACATGTTAACGGGGCCCTTTTCTTTGGGTGGTTCAAGACACGTAGGAGGGCACCTTTTTTTGTCCCCAAAATGGAGGGCTGCAGGAATGCCTTGGATGAGGGAAAGTTCTTGAGACAATGCGGAAAGATTGTGGGGGAATTGGTGAGGTGTCTAAGTGTATTTTCTTCAGTGCAAATCTGCACGCGGCGCTCTGATCCCATATACCTCTCAACGTTTCTAACTTGGCGCCAGCTGTCCATTTAGCCAATCCCATAGGCCAACTACGAAGCCCGAGCGTGCTGTTGGCTACCATCGCAGGGCGTTGTTTTTTTTCACCAAAAACGGACAGAGTGCGGCTGTTTGCCACGCTGAATCAGGGTCAGGTAGCGCAGTCAACACAACAATAGATAAATTCCAGAACGCTGCTGTAGTTGAACCTATTCTGACAAAGCGTGCGAATCTGGAGACATTCAGCCAGAAGGGCGAGCCTTTGACAGGACACGTGAGTTTGTCGCAAGTTTGTCTCATTGGGTGGGGCATGGATCGCGCAGGTGGGCTTCCCCTGGCGAAACACTGCTTCCGTGCAGCGCTGAGAACGGGCGCGCTGCAAGTTTGTGACCTTTACGCAATGAACTGTGGGACCAACCATGGTGTATGGTGGTAGAATCATTATAATGCTGTGGTAATGGTGCGATTCCGAGATGCGAAACCAACATGTGGAAGGTGTTGATTGCTTTAGGGACGAAGGCCCACGTCTTTGCGGCGACATTTTTTACACCTGCGTAGGCAATTCAGTAACAGCACCAGAACCGCGTAGGCATGCTTAGGCGTTTCGCAGAGGCTCGTGTTAGAAGCCTCGTGCAGCAGGCGTGCATGGGCGACGATTTGATAGGTTGACATGTCTGACAGCTTGCGAACCCGCATGTCTCCAGCAAATACGCCGTTTCCCAAGTTCATGAATATTTGCCCACCTCATGTTTAATCATTTGGCACTGGATGAAATAATATGTTGGACTAAACTTGTTCAATGATGTTGTTTGACCGTTCTCATCTCGGTGTCGAAGGGGGCCATGGTCTGGCTGTTGAGCAAGCTCAAGGAAGCCACACATGTTCCAGGACACCACACGAACGCCGCGTTCGGAAACCACACTCCCACTTTTCTTTTCTTTTTCACCCAGACATCGGCGCACGCCCGGGTCTAGTTGGGGCTTGGATGGAGTTGTGAGGCGCCGCCGCCAAGCCGGCGTCCATGATCTACATTTGCCTCTTCGTGCTCAGACTTGAGAGTGGCTAGGGGGTGCCAATCTTGGGCTGGTATTCAAAGGGAAGCCAAGGTAAGCCAGTTTAGGGGAATCCATCGAGATACTGAGAATTCCGAGAGGTCCCAGTTGTCCAGGTGCCGTTTGTTTTCCCTTGAGCACTTGAGCTTGAAGGTTGGTCACTGGATATCAACACGTGTCCGCGTTTTCGTTTGGAGGATTCCTCCCTCAGGCCGGTCCACCCCTGAGGCGGGTGCCCTTTGACTTCTTCTTTCTTCTACCAGTGCTGGACATCTGGGAGTACTAGAGGATCAAGGGACACGCTTGGCCAAGCTTATCATGCATCAAACCTTGGCAGATGAGAAAATGCATGGTTCGTGCAGCCCCTTTCAAACATGAACAGACACACCATACAAAGAAGAAGGTTGCCGGTAAGTAAAGGTTGCCTGATTCCATGTTTGGCCTTGAGTTCGAAGAGCATGGACCAGAAGTAGCCCAGAGACATTCTGTGTAAACTCGGCATGGACGCTGCTTTCCCGTGTATTCCTCCTGCAACGTGCCAAGCCATGTGTGCACAGGTGATGCAAGTGACGATCGTAGCGGGAATGCCGTTAGGAAAACTCACAAAAGTCCATGGGTTTCAACATTCAATATCGGGCTCACAATGAAATTTACCGTGGCTCTGATGTCTTTGATGTTTACATCACGGCAGCCAGCAGATGAACCATTGCTCACTTGATTCGTTTATTGCTTTCGGGTTTCCCCAGCAGATGACTCAGAACCTCGACCTGAGTAGTTGAAGGTAAGAGAGATTCCTATGCAGAGGCTTTGTTCCCGAATGGCACTTTTCTAGGTTTCTTCAACAGAAACTGAAAGGAAAGCCAACGTTTTGTCGTGGACTATTTTAAGGGGGGGCAAATGACTCTCAGGGTTTGCCAGTTGATCCACCTTTTGTTTGCACACCAAGGTGGACCGGACCCTCTGCTTAGATTACGAAGGGGTCTCGTTGTTAGAAGGCAAGCTCGATGAGCCCGGCTATGAATCTGAATGGGTAACGCCCTCACAACTGGTTGGTGAGCGTAAACCCGCTTTGCGAATGACCACCAAAGGATACCTGATTGAAATCTTGGTTGTGGAAACCATGGTTTTAGTTGGTCACGTAGGCTGATACCAGAAAAGCGAACCCTTCAAAGTGGGAATGACCCACATTGCGGTCACAGAAAGGGTGGATTTGTCGTACAACCATTGAAGTCAATACCCAGGTCTTGTTCTTCGCCTTCGGTCCTGTCACCCTTCAGGGCGCTGGGAGCTCATGGCTCTGTGTGTCCAAAAGTCCTCAAGCCTTTGCCCCTGGCAATATACAGGGACCTGATACATATCATTCATGGAACCCCAAAAGAGATGTCCGCTACCGAAGAGGAACCTCCTCTACAAATTTGTTTCTTGGCGCACCCTTTGTCCATGTCCAGTCGAGATTTGTCGTTCTAATTCAGTCTATGCAACGAAGAGGACTGAATCGGCTTTCCGGAATGGTTTGCGGAAGGGTCTGTGAGGGTCAGGTCGATCAACTCCAGAGATGTCATTGGAGCAACACACATGAGTGTGAGCTCGTCTGTGCCACAAAGGCCTGGTTGCTCGGGAGGTCACTATGTTCCAATTTAGGCTTAATATGGATTCCTGCTTCGCCCAATTTGTTTTGGTGGGGGCTACCATGTGCATGCCAGACATTTTGACCAAGGACATGCTGCAAGTTGGCGCATTGATCGTTCTGCTCTCAGTGCCAGTCAGAGCTCCCATCGGTCCAGGTCTCCGGAGATGTTCGGCATAGGGTCTTTGCCTCTTTGCCTCACCACTTGACCTGGTTGCCTACCAGCCTGCCCGTGCCTTTTGGTCAGCGCTGTTTTGCCTTGACAGCACCACAGGCTGTGGTCATTTGTCTGGCCTTGGCAATGGTGCCGCTTGGCCGAATTTGGAGGACTTGGCACTGGGGATACTGATAGGCCAAATCTCCTTACTTGATTGGTGCACGCAGTGCATCGCTCACTGTGGCTAACACTCAATGGGTGCCTGGGATGGGAAACTCTCGTAAAGTTCGCTCGCAGACAAAGATTCTCAGCTCAGATGGCTGCACTGGTTGAACATTAGTCATACCGTGGGCGGAAAAACTCGCTGACTTGGCGTTGATAGTCATGGCCTGATTGCCATCAACCCCTTCTTATCTTTGTTTAGATTAGCATCGTTTAGACAGGCAATGTCAGGATGACCAAGACACATACGGACGCATTTTACGCCCTGGAATGTTGTGCAACCTTCGGCACTCTGGCAGATCGTGCCGCGAGGCTTGTGCAATGGCTCTTCGAGCAAGAAGCCTAGCTGTGGCTCGCGAAGCACTTTGAGAGGTCGAGCCTTTGGAGGGGCTACAGATGAGCCATCCAAAGCGGAGTGCATCAGGGTTGAGAAGGCACAGTCCCAACAATTGGATTGGTAAGAAGCGCTTTTCACAATGTCCATGTTACTTTCCGTGGCCTGAGGCGTGCATCTCTGCAAATGTACACTGCAGTTCGGCAATTCGAGGCCGTCAGATCGCTGTCAGCTTAAGTAAGTCAGATACACTGATACATGGGATGCTTGGTAACGGTTAAACCTTGTTTGAAGGTTTTCCCTTGAGCCGTGATTTAAACCACAAGCGTTGCACAACACCTTCCCCTGTCCAGCTCTGGTTGATGGCTTCTGAATCCAGGCCTCGGGGAAGGCATCCCAAGCCAGGCGTCGGAGCTCTCACACGCGCGGCTGGTGTGCTACCGGAACCGGAGCTTTCTCGGCTTGGGTGGTGAGACGTTGGCCTGCCAGGCACGTGAGCAGTGGCCCAACTGCCGCCCAAGTCGGAGTCGCGCGTTTCCCTTGGAGCGGACATTCATGTCCAGGATGGCGGGCAGCGTTTCTGTTTCTGGATGTACCATTTCTTTGCTCCCATTGAATCAGCCTGTGGCATTTGTGCATGTTCAACCAGCCCATGTCCGGAGCTTGTGCGTAGCCAGCCGCCTCTCGTTTTGGGCCAGGTCCACATGTTCTTCGGCTTCTACCCGAAGGAGCAGCAGCTCAGCCGAACTCTGCCCCCGGGAATGTTCGACGCCCGTGCCCTAGGCGCCCTAGCCGGGCATGCTACGGCTGCCATGGCAGTTGGCAGTGATTGCAGAAGCTCAACCAATCAACCAACCAACCAACCCATCAATCAACGAAGATTCCCTGAATGTTGCCAAAATTATGAACCCCACTGTGGACCTACTTGAAAGTGAAAGGCGGCACACAGTTTCCAAGAGTTCCAGACTGAGCTGCGCGTGCGGCTGCCCAGACCGGCACAGTGCGGGCCGGCTTCATTCCCATTGGCACACCTCTGGACAGCAGCGGCGCAGGCCGCTTGCTGTGAGAGCGAGAATCATGCGATGGCCCAGAAGGTCAAAGCACCGTTGTGTTTTCATGGAAGCGGCTAGAATCATTGGGCAAAACTATGGCAACACGTAACGCTCTTAGGGCAAAGGGAGATCATCCATCATTGAATCATTGAGGTCCTAGTATTGCCCTTCGCATGGCAATGACAGTATAAGTCATAAGTCTCATTTCTCTAATATCAAGGATCATAGTAGCACACATGATGTATATAACAATATGTAAATTTATGATCATGAACACGATGATACTGCTCATGAGGGGCATGCCCGAAGCAAGCAACGTGAACCATATCTTCTTCGAGCGCTGTGCCCAAGCTTGCAAGCCATGACAGGGTAAGTCCTCGTGCCCACGGGGGCAGATCAGGGCTCTCATAGGGTTCCTTGGGAAGATGTCGTCGTTGAGGTCAGGAAGATGTCGCCGAACCATTGAACAACGCCCAGGGTCTTTGGTGTGATCTCTTGGAGGCCCGTGGCCTCAGTTGCCCAAATCTGTTGATCGTGGTTTTGGGTGCCAGCCGCAGGCATGGATGCTTCCAAGCTGCAGACAGCGGCAGGCGGGACTTCTCCGGCGTTGCCTCAATCAGAGTAGTGGGAATCGAGTTGATCGGCAGCTTGTAAGGAACAGTTCCAACAGTTCCATGGGAACCCCCTTTTCACATGGGTGTTGAGTAGAACCTAAGGCGAACCAATCATTGGTACCTTGGACAATGTGTGGACCCCTGGTGGTTGTGGCAATCTGGGCAAGCCCAATTGCGGCCTCGCGAAAGGGTAAGGGGTGTTGGTTTCTGTCCGTTGCAGACGGTTCATCTCTTGGGTTTCTGGTTGGATGATTTTATGGCAACATTGGGCAATGGGAGCGTTGATTGGCGGTCGATCCGAGTCCGAGGGGTCCAAAACCGGACTTGGGGAAAGCCGTCTGACACAATTTCTCCGGAGCCGGGGTCAACATGGGGACTTGGGACTCGGGTAACAAAAGAAGCCGTCCGACCAAAGTGATCCGGACCTCGGCTGAGAGGCCTTCATACGGAATGCCAACTAAAGGGACTGCCAAACAAATCAGAAGGCAGTGACCTGGAGTTTTGTTGTTGTCGAGGAATATGGCCCGCTTTTGGGGGATTCCATTCAAGCTGTTGGTGCCGTGTGGCTTTTTCCCCTTGGAACACTTCTATTGGGGCCACCCATGACAGTCTTTGCCAGGCCAGGGGAACCCGACGACCACTATGGCGCGGGACACGGGTGTCGGAAAGTTTGTGACCTAGCGCATTGGAAGCCACAAGGAGACCTTGACCATGTCTGGGGGAGTACCTCAATTCCTAAATATGAGGCCATATGGCGAAGGGTCTTCTGGGGTAAGTTTGTGATTCTGGGATAGTTGGATTACTTTGGGAGGTCTCAACGAGGAGCTAGGCCAGCGTTAAAAGTAATGAACCTGATGTTGACCTCGGATTGATTAGTGGGTGTTTCCCCGAGCCATCCCGTCAATTGGTCCACCACAGGTAAATGTCATATCCTAGGTCACATGTCATTTCCACTGGTTATTGCTTTAGTGGTTTAATGGTCCTTGGCTTTTGCTCTTTCAGGTGCAAAAAAATGATCCCAGGTGCCTGATGGCCCCAAACTAACAAGCTGATGCCCATTGGACGCTGGATAAGATTGATCTTTCGTTGGCTGCACTTCCATACTCATGGGATAGTCGTAAAAGTCGTTCAGTCACCCGAACGTTCGACCAACTGAGCGCTCGAATCGACCGGTCACCCGACTTTTTCCGGAATCGGACCGAGGGCTTCACAGCGATCGCCTCGGCGGTGCTCATCATTTTGGCTTTCGCCGGGTTCCTCAACGAGGCGCGGCACCGTTTGGGACGTCAGAGCCGTGAGAAGAATCGATTCCTTTGGGAAGGCACATGCACTTGGTCCATGGGACGAAATCCCGGGTTGCCGAGTGCTAGGGCACATCCACATACCTGCATGAGTTGCTCGAGGCAACTGGCATGTTGACCTTCAGAATGGGCTCCGATCCATTGGTCATAGATCCCTCCGTATGCGCTTGTCCAGATGGGGTGGATGTTGGATTTTCGAAAGAAAGAATGATGATGTTTGGCACGCGGTTTCAAGGGAAGCCGACCGGATTTGACAAGCATTCGGAGGGTCCCTTCAGTTTGACACACTGCCCTTCCAAGCTAGCTTGTTTCAAAAACTCTGAGCCTCTCCAAAAGTTGTCATGAACTTTGCAAAAAGCGACCCCAAGCGTCTCTAGCCTTAATTGTTCCACCCGAGTGGATCCGGGTTTCGCGCCCTGAGGCGACAGAGTTCCTATCGCAGTGGGTGCAGTGTGTCGGCCTCCTGGATCGGTGACACTCACCCGCGTCTCAATAGACTTTGGGGCGATGTTGACCCATGAGCCCTTTGGAGGTGCAGAAAAGAGAGCCCAGGTTGGCTCATATTGGTAAGACCCAGGACCCTGAGGCGATTGAACCCTTCAAGTGGCAAAAGAGTTCTGTTCAGGTAAAGCAGTTTGTCAGGACTCGTAAAGCTTTGTGACAGATGCGGCCATTGATGCTGCGACTCGCCAAAGTCTTATACTAGACAGATGAGCCGCTCGACCCACATCCAGCAGCGGTCAAGGCGCTGCGTTCCCGCAACTTTGCACTTGCCTTTGACGCGGCAAAGCTTCGTCCACTCACTTCGTGAGTCAGAGACTGTCCTCACATTCAACCGCTTACGCTTGTAGTGTGCAGCTGCCGTTTTCCATGCGCAACAACCGTCGCTCATGAGGATATGTTGGGGTCCATCGGATTTTAGACACCCAAATAGCTGTGCCAGCGCCACCTGAAACAAACTATTTGGAGGGATGGTTGTTTAAACACATGCGCAAACGGACATGGGGAAGAGCGAGAGAGAGAGAGAGAGAGAGAGCGAGAGAGCGAGAGGGGGAGAGAACACCAATTAACAAAATCAACAACTATCGCCTTCAAAGGTGTTGGCGTCACAACGAATAACTTCTTTGGGTATCACGGCCACATCGGACCTGCCACGGTTCTCGTAGCAATCGTAGGCAGGATCTTCCGTCTATGCGGGAAGCGGGGAATGATCGCGGATGTCCAACAGGCTGCGGCTCAGGCCACGTTGATTTCTGTGCGAGGGAGGCTCCTGCCATGCAACGCTCTTGCTCTCCACCCCTTGGTCTTTGCACACTTCCGGGGCAACAGTGGCAGCCCGTTCATGATGAGCATGGGCCAGGTTTCGTTGGGGCCGCAGCGGTCAACGTTGCAATCCAGGTTGGAGCAGAGGACTAGAACTGGGCAATGAACGTTGTTTCAGGCCAACTGGTGGTGACCCTGGTGGTGTCTCTGACCGCTCAGAAAAATGCACGCACGCACACACACACACACCCACACACACACACACACACATTCACCCATACACCCAGCCACACACACACACACCCACGCACACACACACACACACACAGCGAGCGTTTGGGGAGCCTTTGTGCCCAGAATTACGTCCGGCGGATGGCCAAGGTGATCGAGAATTACAAGCAGAACGTTGGGGTTATCTCCATGTGCAACTCGGCTTGAGCAGGCCTACATGTCAGTCATCATTTTATTGATCATGTCCAAAATACCAGGCTCGCCAGGCAAATGGGAGTTTGCCCTTGTCATGCGCTCTGTATTCAACGCCGGCCTGGTACAGAAACTTTGTGCTATTTCAGTGATAGCAGTGAGGCATGGAGCATGACGAAGATGGGAGGCTCATGGAGATACGTCGAGCACACACACACACACTCACACATGTTGTGCGAAGGTGCGACACATTCCCAGAGGCCCCCACGTAGGCAAGTTTAGTCTACATTGGCCCACAACGACCACTACAAGGTGGGATGTCTGAACATATCCCCAAAAGGGGTGGTTTGCTGTTAGATAGGTTCTACTTGTGTCGGTTCCGTTCTAATCATGTGATGTAAACGGGCACAGATGCCCTGGACGTGTCTCCTGGTCTTTGCCATCGCAGGCATCGAACAAAGATTCGATCGCTGGTGGACTGGGGGCAGCCGGGCCCTTGGGCAAATGACCTGGACTTCCTGTAGGTTCCACATAAGATCCTGTCTGGTTGCTGTGTTGGCACCGGATATCTCACAGGTGCATGCACAAACGAACCTGATGTCTATAAATCAGGATGATACAACCTAAGATGAATCAGAGGGAAGTGGGCATTGGGAACCTCGGGTCCTGGAACGTCATCCTTCAAAAAGGGATGTTTGTGTGATTCCACGAAAACAATCAGGAGACCAGCTTTGTCCACGAGAATTTTCTGGAGGTGGACCAGAGCCCTGCATTAGCGTGTCTTAGGCCTCAACCTCTTAGTTCCCAATTTATACGTCGTGCGAACATGATTTGGTGAAGAATAAACAAATTCGGAGTTGTTTTCGGCCTGTCCACCCAGGTAAGTTCAGAAGGCCACCAGTTGCACACCTCTGGCAGTCATGCAAGACGCTGAACCACCACTCATGCACTGTCGCAATGCCTTGTTTGCTTTGTTTGCGTTGACCAAGGTGTCCTGTACAGTATCCAAGAGAAGAAACTACTTAGGAGGAAGACTGTTTTTTGCCCGTGGCGCTGGTGAACGTATCTTCAAACAAAAGTGGACCTATTTACACACCTGATTTTGATTGGCCTGGGCCGTGGATCGCATTTCCGGTTGTGTTAAATTAAAGTTTGCTTAAAGCAAATCAAGGCGAGCCGCGAGCCACATGCCCATCATGACTGAAATCCCTGAAGGTGTCTAAGGGGAAAGGCCCAAGAGGAGGTGTTTTTTCCTTATGGTGTATTGCCAGGTTCTTCGCATCGAATTTAACGGTCACAGTTTTGACATCTCCACACGTGGTCTGTTACCACTTCCACCCAAGCACTGAAGATACTACACAAATCAAGGGCAACATCAATAGATCAGTACTGTTGAAGGCTTCCTAGAAGCAGGTCTCATGCCTTCCCAACTTTCGCCTGACCATTGCCTAGGCAAGGTTGGCCTCCAGACCGTGCTGGCGCACTGGATCGAAGCATTTGACTGGTCTTTGCAGGCGGTGGCCGGCTGCGGTTGCAAATATCAACCCCTCCAGATGCGTGTTTTGCTTTGGTTCAATGCCAGGTTTTGACTATGACTGAAATGACCCTGGATTCTGCACAAACAAGGTCGGGCACCAGACAAGCCGCAGCTGGGTTTGGCCCACTTGATGTTCGGTCATGTTTAGGTTTGAGTTTGGACTATCGTGTACCAGAGGAGCTGGGGGCTGATTTGGGGTACATAGGAAAGTTGGTGATATGACTTTGGCCTCATCGCGCACACGCAGCTCCTCCTCTTCGTATGGGTGGTTGGCCCTACGGCGATTTTCCTCTGGAAGTCGCTCGCTGACCAGCCGCGTTCTTAGATTGGACACACACCAGTCGAGGGGTGATTGCGCGGCAAATACTGTTTGTTTTTGCTGCTGCATGGGCTTGGTTTTACCACACCCAACCCTTTCATTGGTTAACCCATGGGTTGTGACAGTTCTAACTTTGGCTTCCAGGGCGAACTGCCATTGAACCATCACTACGAGTAGTCGTTCCAGAAGCGGTCACTTTGTCAACCACACGCTCAACCACCCACCAATTGGCAGCAGGCCCTTGTCACATTGAAAAGGAATACATGATTAATGGCTCAAGCATGATAAAGCACCATCAACCATTATGAATTGAGCATAGCTCCACAACTATTCTGACTGAGATAGACTGGGACTGGATCTTTGCGGAGCCAACACTGAAGAATTCACCCTAAATTAGAAGCCTTGTTGCATCCTACAGTATATCACAGCTCAAAGTGTGAACCCCCCCCCCCCATTTTTGACCCCGGCCGGGAGCTTCTGCAGATCCCAACCCTCTCAATGTACAGGCAGAGAGGCTCCACATCCAGTAAGGGGCCCCCTGTTTCATACTCGTACAATTCGCATGGGGAGTTGGCAATTACTTCTTGTTGTTGTGATTTGAAGGGGCACCAAAAGGACAACGGAGGTCCATTTTGACGGGGCCCTACAAAAAGACGGTCACCCGTGTACCAGGTCTTTTTTTGGGGGGGGATTCAAAAACCCGAGGAGTTCTGCCGGTCTCGGCTTCGTGGTGGATCGCCACTTGGGCGCTTCCACGGAAGACGAGAAGCCGTGGGCCCAGCGGCGCTGGAGCGCACGCGGTCAACCCGCTGAACTGGGTCCCAAATGAGATGAGAGGATCTCATTGCGAATTGAACGTGGAAGCCGAGGGTTGTAACCCATCGAAAGGCAACAAACAATTTCAGGCCCCTTTTGCAGTGCTCTTTGGTTCTTTGGGACTGCCGCAAACCGCGCACTCGCATCTCGGGCTGTCAAATAACATAGGGTGACCCGAACTTCCAGGGCTCGTGGCATTTTCTCATCGGAGCCCGTGAATGCTTGTTTCCTGAGCGAACTGTCTGAAATTCCTCGTTGCTGCTCAGTAGGGAATGACCCCGGGTGTTGAGAATCTAGGGACTCCCTTAAAGGCAGCCACACGGGATTGTTTAGAGGGGGCATTCCCTCATTCCCTGCTGAGCACCAGCAAGATTAGGCGCTCCATCTTCCAGAAGTTGTTGGTTTACCTTTTGCCTACCCAGTCCATGGACATGGAGCTGAGGTTCGAGGATCACTGGCAAGAGCTGTCCTCGTTCCTCGCCGACCTGTTTCAAGGCGGGGACCGTTAGCAACCGGTTGGCCAAAGGCCAACTTCGGGAAAGGCCATTTCCCTCCGCCAGATAGATGGAGGCTGGCTTTGAGGCACAAGTTTCAACTCCCCCGGCCGATGGTGTCAACGGGTTTGCGTTTTGCGAGGGTTCCCAATACCAGGCAACCTGCTTGGTGAGAGATGACCAGGACTTGGCCAAAGCAACGCAAGCACAGAGACTCTTTCCGGTCACGAAACGACTTTTCGCATCAGGTGCGGTCGGGGAGAAAGCTCGGCTCTCAGAAGAAGGGAACTTTCGAGAAGCTCCAGTCAGATGGCAAGGGGAAACCAAAAGGAAACCACCTGGAGGAATTGGCACCAATTCAGTTTCGCCGTGCGAATTCAAATGGACTAAGGAAGAAGCTCCTGGAGGCTAGAGCGAGTGAGTCCGGTGAAGGAGGAGACATATATTGCATGAATCTGGTGACGCAATGAAACTGCCACAGGTTCAGCAGAATTGAGGGGCTGTCTTCGCCAAATCCCTTAGTGAAGAGGCAGTTGTCCTGTCTCAAGAGTTTGGGCGCAGCTTGTCGTCAAAGCTGGGAAGTTTGGCCTGTAGCAAGCAGCCGCACCAGTTTCCTAGCAGCCAGTGAGATTGATTTGCACTGGCATTTTTCCGCATCTGCCGTCCAGCTTTATCTTAACTTTCGGCTTGGACCAGCCCTTTTGGACGTTCATAACCTTGGTCAACAACGTTCTTCCAACAATGAGGCCTTTTCAAGATCCAAACCCTCTGCACTTCCAGGATTCTTCAAGAGATAAGAACAATCTGAGACCTCTTTTGACACTACTGTGTAGACATGTTAAGGTCCACCAAATATGGGCCAGGACTTGAACACATGAACCGGATGCAGTTTTTTGGTTGGGGGTTGGGGGGGGGGGGGCCAAAGCTGGGGCAGGTCGGAACGGCTGCATGCCTCGGCAGAGCCTGGGGGCGGCCGATGCCGAGCGGCCGGCCGCCAGACGCTCAACGCTGGACGGTTGTTTGACCCCTCAAACTGGCGGTGGTCCTTTACGAGAGGGGACCCTCAAAATCAGACGTCGCCTTTGTCGTGTTTGAAATGAGAAACCCTATAGAGGATATAGAGGATCCCAGTTAGCAGTTGCCACCAGCGTAAGCAAGGGTTTGTTTCCTCTCTAGGTTGTACATGATGTTTTTTTTTTGATAGAGCTCTTCCAGTGCCAACGCAGAATCTGTTCATGGTTTCTAGTCACTAGTTCTGTTTGTTTGTATCGGTCCTTGTCCCCACATCCGAGTTTGTGGCAGATTGGATGATGGCTTCCCGTTTTATGTGATACTTCGGGATTTGCCTTTTAACGCGGGCAAAGTATGGTATCACAGAAAGGGTGATTTCTCGCAAGCCGTTGTCTGGTTGGGTTGTGCCCCCACCAGCTGCCGCCCCTTCTCAACAAGTACCTTTGTCGTTTGTGGCTGCCCCAAAATCCCGTCATCCACAAGTAGCAGTCGTGAACAGCGCACAACATACGGGTGTGTCTTTTTCAAGGGCACCCCTTTTGGAGTGGCTTTTTGGGAAGTCAGAAGGACGGTGACCACTTCTTGGCGGGGTCCCCTGTTTTAAGACACACCCAAAATTCTCACCCCTTGGCTCCCGAGCCTAAGCCGTGGGGCTTTTCCGACACATTACCATTCGCTTCACCCCAAACTCAGCGGCCGCTGCTTTGTTGGTATTTCAAGGCCAGGCGAGTGAAGGGGCCCAATCAAGGGAACCTTGAAACACTGCCTATCCAATCAATGAAGCCTGGGGCAACATGTTTACAATTGCTAAGTTCCTTTCCACTCAGCCTCCGCAAATATGAAAGTGCAAACCAAGTGTCCTTTGGACAATGGGTCCTGGGGGTCCTGGGGGTCCTGTGTATTTTCATGTCGGCAAACTGCAGCTCCAACTCAAGGGCTTCATGCTGAGGCCAAGCGATGGGAAGAGGCCGGCGATGTCGCCTTTGGGGCCCGAAAGCCGGAATACGATCCGCCAGGTGCTTGGAGACATCCATCCGACAGAAGGCGCCAGCGAGAGCCGATGCGAAGATGCGACGGAGAGTAGAGCTCCCATGCCATGTCCCACAACTCTTTAGGCATTTTACAAGAACAAAAGAGCCTTCGTCAGTGAATGTCCAATTCAACGGGTTTGGGTCCTGGAACAGATCCTTGTACATTTATGGACCTTTTAGCTTTGCATGGCTCGACACTCCCTCAAATTATTTGGTTTGGGCCCAGAACCTACGATTGGATCCTACAAGTTGGAACAAAAAGCCTCTCGACCCACCGCGCCCTTTTGCAGGGTCCGCGCCGCCTCAAAACGAGATGGCCCGGGCCTTGCTCGCTGCTCGCAGTGATTTTGGCTTGGTCTGAGGGAGCGTTGGTTGGGTTGGGTTGGTTGGGTTGGTTTGGTTGGTTTAGTTTGTTGGGTTGGGTTGGGTTGGCAGGTGGGAATGCTGCCAATTTTGAAATTCCCGCCCCTGATGCCTGCTTTTTTGGCCGGGGTGTCCCATTTTCGGCTTTTCGTTTTCCAATGGAGCGCTTTGTGATTTCCCTTCTCCTTCGACGTTTGTCATGTACCTTTGCTTGTTTGAAATAAGTCAGAGCCCTTCATGGTTCATAGCTCTAATGTTCCCCCGGATTAATACTGTAAGCCATATTAATCGGACGGGTTTATTGATCCGGGGTCAACATTATCCACAAATTACACTACCCGCCTATGGCTTGGAGGGAAGGCTTGGGAAGCTGGGAAGACTGGATGACTTCGCTCGCAAGCCCAGTTCCTGCTTCTTTGTTCGCCCCATTGTGGACGTTCCCCACAAGACAGAATCACCCAAAGGATTGCGGACCACAACCATGGGACAGGCCTTGAACCAAATGAAGCAAGGGCCTGCTCCTGCAGCCCTCAATGGCAATTGAACTCTCGGGGGTAGCCATGAGGAGGAGCACTCGTTTAGCACACCATGATTGATTTCCTCAGCATTGTGTTTATCATGTTCAACATTTGGGAAATCGACCCTGTGTTCCCAAAGGCGACGCTTGCACCAGGAACCTGCTGCCGCGCCGCTGTATACGCAGGCAGGGGAACTTCATGCAAGGCATGAAGTGGGTTGGCATTCGGTGTCCAAAAGGTTGGGGCTTGGCGCATGGCAGGGGAAGGAGCCCACCCGCCAAAAAGGGTGCCAAGCCTGAAACACAAGAGCCGCACCTCACTTCCCCAGTTTTTGGACTTTCCCAGGTGTTGGGCAGATCATTTCAGGGGTGCAGTCTAGACGCCTCACGTTTGCCGAAGGCTGCGAGCAGCAGCAGTCCATATCAGCCCAAGACCGGGCCCGCGCGGGGCCAGCCTGAGCCTCACGGACCGTGGGAACCGGGGACCCCAGGCAGAAAAGATGGAATTAGGCGTGTCTTTTGTTTGAGGGCAGGGGGTTCTCTAGGCAGATCAACATGGCAGCTCCCATTGGCGTTCAGGGGTGTGAGCTTGTCTTCTTGGGGCCTTTTCAGGGTGGTTCTCAAGAAGCAAAGGGAAACCCCTGCATTTTGGCGGGGGTGTCTATTTGGAGAACCCCGAACAAATCCGATGGGACGGAATGGAGCCCCAGAAGATGCCCGACAGACATGCATAGATTCAGCGAAAGACCAGTATATGGTCCTGGAGGGTGTAAGGCAGCCTGCAAACATGTCTTATGCAACAATGAAATGCAGCTGTGTGGACGCAGGTGGTGTTTGTTCGTGGATAGAGTTTGGAGGAATTTTGGGCTAGCACTACGCGCTCCACCCTTCCCTCGGAAGCAGGGTGAGCGGGTTTTAGAGCAGGGCTGGCTACTGTTTAGTTGCAAGAGCATGTGCCCAGCTTTCGAGTGACCTCAAATCGCGGCCACTTAGACAAACAAAGAAATGAAGCCACTTAACTGGGTGTCGGGGCCCGAAGTGGCTTCTTTCTGGCGCTTCAAAGTTGCCTCCTTTGCCCCGGAGCGTACAAGGCTTGATTCTCAAGCAAGCTTGTAGACAGAAGCATGGCCAACTGACAGGCAGCGTTTGTGCTTGCTCAAATGTGAGTGCCAATGCATGTAGTGTCGCCCGGAGGTGAATCGAGGTCACTTGGGTCACGAACAGGCCACTTAATGCAGTGTCGTCTAACCCGTTTGAGTGGAGTGTCGCCGCTAGCTCGTCATCAACTGTGCCAGTTTGCCTCAAATGCACATTCTTCAAGATCGCTTAAGTGAAATTTAGTTTCGGGACCTCTTTCCCGAAGTTGAATCAAAGTCATAAAAGGTGAAAGAGGTCACTTAACAACAAGAAGCAGGGTGGTTGCTTTTGTCGGATTGATTCTCGCGCTCTTTGCCGGTCTTGTTCATGTCTCCTGTTACCCCAACCCGTGTCGAGGCGACGAACACCGTCCTGGCAACAGGTGGAGGACTTGCGCTTTCTGAAACAACTCAAGCGCTTGCTTGCGCATGAAGTTGTCACGTTTGAGATGGAGTGAGGAACGCACCACAAAGAGGCCTTGGTTGGAGGTCGTAGTCTCACGTGGTGCTTTTGATGGATATACGACTGACAATGACTGCAGAGTTTGAGAAGTTCCTGCTTGAATGGTGCTGCATGCCGTCGAACTCGGGCAGGAGATGATTGCGCACTTGATTGATCCCATTTCGGGCAAAGTTCGCGCCAGCCTTATATCAGTTCTCTTCCTTGTCACGAGGGCCAGTCATTGAGTCATTGAAGAAATTGATGCTTGCATACTTACACTTGGCTCCTGTGTGTGTGTGTGTGTTTGTGGCATGCGAGAGAGAACAATTTCACTGTGGTACGTGTTTGACAGAAATGACACTTGTTTTTGCACCATAGTGTCAGCAGAGGCACCAACCCAAGCATTGGCCAAACAGGAAATCGCTTCACGCTTTTCTAACCTGGCCCGTGAACCAGTTTTGATCCAGAATCTGCCCTTTGCCTCTTGCCCCCATGAGCCTTTCGTAAAGCCGACCGTGAAGATCGCACATCGACGACTCATGTTTGTTCCCTGTAAGCAGCAGCTCAAGCTTTAGCCAAACCTACTGACGACCTACGGCAATTGGTGACAACCTCCAAGCAGACCTGCGTAAACAGGGCACGAATTCTTCTTTTGTGCTATCAGGTTGTGGATTGGATGGACTCCTCTTTGAGCGTGGCAACGCCCAGACCCCCGTAAGAGGGAATGGTATGTATCATGTGAAGTGCCCCTTTTCCCCCTAAAACGGACTTGTGAGACCTGGTTTGTAAACAGTATTGTTAGTTTGTTTGAGATTTGAATTCAAGCGAGAGCCTAAAATCGGGGCCCCGACATTTAGGATTCTTGTATTGTTTAGAGTTCTGGCTGGTGGGTCTGGGCTGGGACCTGGTGTTTAGATCTGTGGAAATCGGGAAAGTATATATCATATAATGTCCAGCACCCCCCAACTACTCCTCAAGGGGCAGTAGATAGAATTTTCCAAAAACAACTGTAGTTAGAACAACTGCCTGTTAATTATTTCATTTGCGGGATGCCCATAGTCTAGCTACTGGTTGGGGTGGCAGCATGTGCAGCAAGTGCCTCACAAGCGTGTCACCTGCGTGTCCCCCCGAGCCACTTGCGGGTCATTGCGGGTCACCCCGTGTCACCTACGCGTCACCCCGTGTCAACTGCGTGTCGTCCCTGTGTTGCCCCGTGTCGCCCCCGTGTCACCCCGTGTCACCTGCTTGTCTCCCCGTGTCGCCTCCCGTGCCCCCGTGTCAGTATGCTAGAACAACAGAAATCGCTGCGAACAAGAACAGTAGTTTTAGCGTGTCACCCCGTGTCGCCCGTGTCGCCCGCATGTCGCCCCCGTGTCCGTGTCACCTGCATGTCACCCCGTGTTGCCTGCGTGTCAACTCGTGTCGCCTGCGTGTCACCCCGTGTCACCTGCGTGTCACTGCGTGTCACTTGCGTGTCACCCCGTGCGCTTGGGAAGGGGTAGGGATTAGCTTGTTTGGGAAAGAACGTGAAACAACCGTAGATCGGGGACATTGTATTTTTTTGTTATTTTCGGAACTACTTCAAAATAGACGGTAATTACTAAAATAAAATGAAACAGTAGCCGAAGGGTGCTGGATATATACTGTATATACTATCCGTCTCATAGAATTGAAATGCAAAACATTTAAAAATCGAGGGTCCAATATTTATGTTTTTTAGAAGTGCAATCTAAAGATCTACACAGTCTCAAAGTTCTCAAGACCAGGGGTCCGATGTTTTTTGTATGTTGCTTTGTATTTTTAGAGTTCTGGTTGGTGAGTCTGGGCAGACACACTTTGCACTGCCCATGAAAGAGAAAGCTTACTGTAACTCACCGTCCTCGAAACTGTGCGGCAGAAAGCCTGTGGCAGCTCAACAACACAGAGGCGTTCTGATCCTGTTCTGCAACGAGACGGCAACATCCCCAGTGCGCTGGTGTCGGCAAAGCGCTTTACACGCACTCATTTGCAGGGAGTGCTTGGTCAAAGCAGCAGTGCATCGACAGTAACTCATGAGCATGTCCGTCAACCGGAAATTTCGCAGTTGCTTGCCTTTGAAGCTGTACTCGGACAATCGCGCTTTACGGATAAGCGGGTACACGGGTTGAGCGAGCGCAGCCATTCCGTAGGATTAGCGATAGCGCATATTTATACACTGTGCCTCCGGGGAATTCCTTGGCATGAAAGGGATCCAGGGCTATCTGCCAACTGCCTGCAGTTGCTATTTCCAGCGCACTGTCGCAGGTGCTACACATGGCAACCGACGTGCCTGGCAAACTTCTTGACGCATTGAAGCAACTCATTTCAGCTCATGAGTTTGGACCCAGTGCGTTTGGCGACGAAGTGAACACTGCTGCAGGCGGCGGCTACTTCAAAGTCTGACGAGTAGGGTCAGTAACGTCGACGCAGACACGTGCTCGGTACTTGGGACGATGCCTTGCACGGTAATAATGTGACTGAGTTGATAGTGCCAGACGTACGGAACATGGTGGCTACCGCTAAGGCCAAAAGCGTCGTACGCAAGACCACACGCACCGACTTCATGTCTTACTGCCTTGTCTTTGCCCCGGAGGGTTGTGTTTGGATGCGCCGCGGCCCTGTTTGCTTCACATTAAAAAGGCGCATTCTTTTTCTATGGCCCGCCGAGCCGCGATGCGCCGTGGCTTTCCTGCTGCGCAGCCCATGTGCAGAAAATCCTGGACTGGAAACTTGCGAACGCAGTCAAACAAAAGTCCTGGCCAGAAGAAACTTGCCACATTCGAAAAGGGGAAGGTTGGAAGCAAAATCAACTACTTCACAAAAAGAGGCAAGCGGATTACGCCAATGATTCCTGCCAGAGCGCAGGAAGCAGCTGCTTCCGGGAGGCCTCATGGAACCAATCGCGGCGAACCGCGTGTTCCATTCTACAAACATGTTTGTGAAGCAAAGGCTCCCGTGAAAAAAATCAGTCTGCTGGAAAGCTCGTAGTGGAAACCCGCGTGTTCCATTATACAGACATGTTTGTGAAGCGAAGGCTCCCACGAAAGAATCCTGCTGCCGGAAAGCTTCCCGCGCCGCTGTAGGTAAATCCTGCTTACTGAATCTTGGCGCACCGTCGAGTTCAGCAGAGGCAGCTGCCAAGCAACCCCTGCCTGGAAAAAACTGGCCCCAGCCACGTGTAGGCAACCCAGGCTGCCCAACGACGCAAATAGCTGAACGGAAAACACACGCAAGAAACGAAATCATGACCGGCCGCTCAGTTAACAAGCACTTTTGCGAAGCGCAGGCTCCAAACAAATCCTGCTTGTGAAGAACTCGCCGCAGAAGTCCGCAGCAGCAGGCCAAACCCCTGCCGGAAACCCGGCCGCAGTTCAGAGGCCCGCAACACTAAGCAGCCCCTCTACCCGCGTCTTTGCTGCAATTCGCCATAGACGGCAGACAGCCGGGGATCCCTCTGCCTGAAAACTGGTCTCAGCTCTCTGCTGCGCGCGAAGTGCGCGGACGCAAGTCCGCGGCGAGGCCGCGCTACATATATGCATATACACAACGTGAGCTGCGCCGCAGAGCCGCTTGTCGCGCGGCATGCGCGCGTGTTTCCAGTACTATACAGAATTCTCAGACTGCCAGTTGCGCGTTTTTTGCCAGGATTCATGCAAAGTTTGCGATTTCCGCATTTTGTAGCTTCTGCAAAAGAAGTGCAAAATTGTTGCCCAAAAAGTGATGTATTTATTTTGCTTAGTTTTCTGTTTTGTTATTAATAGTTAATGCAAGTTATCTTAGATACACCATTGCTCGCTCTGCTAGCCTTGACTATAAGTCCCCTTGTAGCAATTAACGAGACCACGTTGTATGGTTCCGCGTCACTTAGGTGTCTATCGAGATGTGCTATCCTTCCTTCCAGATGAAGAGGTCCTGGCTGTGTACCCCGAGAAGGCCACGACGATTTGAGTGATTTGTCAGAGTGTCAAAAGTTGCAAGAGGATGCTACCAGGGCACCGGGCCCAAAGTCTTTGGGTTTGTCCAGCGGGCTTGCGCGAGCCAAACACACACCCTCGCAATTGCAGGCGGGCTTTTGCCCAAGTGTGCTGAATTGCGTGGTTTATGGGTTACCGTATGCGATTCTGCTTTGGGCTCCTTGTCTTTGGGTTCGTTGTATGGTTCGAAGAACTATATGGCTGCGTGTAATTTGTCTTCCTTGCAGTGACGTTGTGATTCTGCGCGTGAGATCGTCATCCCCCTCGTGAGCAAAGTGAAGATAGTGATCACCTGCGGCCTTGAGTACTGCCAGCTCCTCAGATGGCCCCAGGTATGGTCCTGTGGTCGGTCCGGCGTATGGAGCATTTTGCGGCCAGAGAAGCAGACATTTGTATGTCTGTGTTTGTACATGTGCAGATTGTATTTTTACGTGTGCGCGTCATGTTATCCGTTCATATATTCGTGTACTGCTGTTTACTAGACATGTGTGCATATTTACGTATACTATAGGGTGAACTTGCCCCAGTTCGGTGCAGGGTTGGCACTAACTAGCAATAGCTTCATCATGCATTCATTTCGGGTTGAGCCAAGAAAATTTACTGCACGGCTTGCTACTTTGCTGCGAAAGTCCAGGCAACTCACAGTCAGAGTGAGCCCTTTCCCAGATCTTCCCAAGAGAAAGGAAGATTTCGCGAACTGGTCGAAGCTTGGGACACTCACGGCACGCACGCGTGGCAGAAATAGTGCGTAGTTTTAGCTGGGTGGTGTTTGTTTGTTTGTTTGTTTGTTTGTTTGTTTGTTTGTTTGTTTGTGTGTTCGTTCGTTCGTTCGTTCGTTCGTTTGTTTGTGTTCGTTTGTTTGATTGGTCGCGTATTTATTTTTATTTTTGCTTGTTGTTTGCTATTTGTTGTTTGTTGTGTGTTGTTTGTCATTTGCTGTCGTTGCTGTTGCCGTTGCTGTTGCGGTGGTTGTTGATGGTGGTGGTTGTTGTTGGGTGTTGGGTGCTGGGTGTTGGTTGTTGGTGGTTGTTGCTGTTGTTGTTGCTGCTGCTGTTGTTGTTTTTGTTGCTCTTGTCGTTATCGTTGTTGTTGTTATTATTATTATTGTTGTTGTTGCTGCTGCTGCTGTTGTTGTTGTTGTTGTTGTGGTTGTGGTTGTTGTTGTTGTTGTTGTTGTTGCTGTTGCTTGTGTTGTTGTAGTACTTGTTGTTGCTGTTGTTGTTGCTGCTGTTGTTGTTGTTGTTGTTGTGGGTGTCGGCTGCTGGTTGTTGGTCGTGTTGTTGTTGTCGCTGTCGGTGTCGTCGTCGTTGTCGTTGTGGTTGTTGTTGTTGATGTTGTTGTTGTTGGCTTTTGTTGTTGTTGTTGTGGCTGTTGTTGTGTTGGTGGTGGTTGTTGCTGTTGCTGTCGTTGTTGCTGTTGTGCTGTTGTGCTGTTGGTGTTGGTGCGTTGTTCGTGTTGGAGTTCGTGTTGGTGATTGTGCTTTCGTTGGTGTTGTTGTTGGTGTTGTTGTTGGTGTTGTTAGTGTGGTTGGTGTTTTTTGGTGTTGTTGTTGTTGCTGTTGTTTTTGTTGTTGTGGCTGTTGTTGTTGTTGCGGAGGTGGCTTTTGTTGTAGTTGTTGTCGTTGTCGTTGTTGCTGTTGTTGCTGGTGTTGGTGTTGGGGTTTGGTGTAGTTGTTCGTGTTGTTGTTCGTGTTGGTGTTGGTGTTGCTGATTTTGTTGTTGTTATTGCTGTTGTTATTGTTGTCGTTGTTGTTGTTTGTGTTCGTGTTGCTGTTGTTGCTCGTGTTGTTGTCGGTGTTGCTAGTGTGGTTGCTGTTGATGTTGCTGTTGCTGTTGCTGTTGCTGTTGCTGTTGCTGCTGTTGTTGCTGTTGTTGCTGTGGTGGATGTTGTTGTTCTCGTCGTTGTTGTCGTTGTCGTTGTCGACGTTGTCGTTTTCGTTGTCGTTGACGTTGTTGTTGTTGTTGGTTTGGGTTTGTTGTTGTTGTGGTTGTTGTTGTTGGTTGTTGGTTGCTGGTTGCTGGTTGCTGGGTGTCGGTTGTTGGTTGTTGGTTGTTGGTTGCTGGTTGCTGGGTGTCGGTTGTTGGTTGTTGGTTGTTGGTTGTTGTTGTTGGTTGTTGGTTGTTGGTTGCTGGTTGCTGGGTGTCGGTTGTTGATTGTTGGTTGTTGGTTGTTGTTGTTGTTGGGGTTGTTGGTTGTTGTCTTCCCGAATGCGTAGCATAGGGTTCTCGTTTCATCTTGGGGGTCTTGGGGTGCAGCCTTGTTCGCCGGATGTTGCGCACGTTCGCAACCGTCTCCCAGTGGGGAAGCGCAGAACGCGTGAGTTTGATGACTTGTGATGCGCTGTTTTCGTTGGCACTGCGCGCGAATCGTAGCTTCTCAAGCTTGACGTGTCGTTTCGCTGCGCAGGCTCAGTGTTTTGGAAGGCTGCGTGTTAGATATCGTTGCCGTGACAATGGGATTTGCGATCCAGGGGTGGTCGTTTTGAGGTGTCCTGCTTGGCACGCGCGTGATCGTGTTTGTGCCGGCGCCGTTTTCGTTGGCCCTGTCGCACAATCGGCTCGTTTTAGAGATTTTGAAGCATGACAAAATTGGTCAAAATCATTCTGACGCCACAGTCCGTGCTATAGTTTTGGATGCGTGTCGTAAACGTGTCCAAGTTGGATTTCGTGGCAGGTCCAGCAGTTTGGATGATTTTTAGCTCGTGGCAAGCTTACTTTGCGTGACAGGCGAAGCACTTTCGAGCGTGTTGATTTAATTTTGTGGCAGGCGCCGCGCTTTGGAGCTTATTGTTGGCAGGCACGTCACTTTGACTCAGCAAGATCGCTCTCGCTGTGTGTTGCTCGGAAGTGTCGCGCAGAAGTGTCAATTCAGCAGTGTTGATCAGGAGTGTCGCTCAGAAGTGTCAATTCAGCAGTGTTGATCAGAAGTGCTCAGAAGTGTCGATGAGCAGTGTGGATCAGTGTTGGTCAGAAGTGTCGCTCAGAAGTGTAACTCCGAGGTGTCGATCAGAAGTCTTGCTCAAAAGTGTTGCTCGGAAGTGTTGGTCGGAAGTGTTGCTCAGAAGTGTCGCTCAGAAGTGTTGCTCGGAAGTGTTTGACAGAAAGGTCGCTCAGAAGTGTTGGTCAGAAGTGTGGGTCGGAAGTGTTGCTCAGAAGTGTTGATGAGAGGGGTTCCTGAAAAGTGTCGACCAGAAGTGTCAACCAGAAGTGTTGCTCAGAAGTGTCGCTCAGGAGTGGCAATTCAGCAGTGTTGCTCAGAAGTGTTGTTCAGAAGTGTCGATGAGCAGTGTGGATCAGAAGTGTTGGTCAGAAGTGCTGCTCAGAACTGTCGATGAGAAGTGTGGATCAGAAATGTTGCTCATAAGTGTCAGTCATTCAGTGTGGTTCAGCCGTGTTGCTCAAACTGTCGACCAGAAGTGTCGATCGAAGTGCGGATCAAAAGTGTGGCTCAGAAGTGTCGATCAGAAGTGTCGCTCAGAAAAGTCGATCAGAGAAAGTGTCGCTCAGAAGTGTTGCTCAGAAGTGTCGATCAGAAAAAGTGTGGTTCAGAAGTGTTGACCAGGTGTTGCTCAAAAGTGTTGCTCAGAAGTGTCCATCAGAAGTTGTGCTCAGACGTGTCGCTCAGAAGTCTAGTTCGCGCTGTAAAATCGCAACTTTGTAGGGCAAGTCTAGTGCGCGAAGTACAGGTTTCCAGCTCTACCCGGAAAATCGCAACTGTGTAGCACAAGTATAGCGCGTGAAGTACAGGTTTCTGGAAAATCACAACTTTGAAGTGCAAGTCTAGTGCACAAAGTACAGCTTTCCAGCTCCAGCTCCAAAATCGCAACTTTGTAGTACCAGTCTAATGCGCGAAGTACAGGCTTCCAGCTCCAGCTGGGAAATCGCGACTTTGTAGTGCAAGTCTAGTGCGCGAAGGACAGGGCACGAAGCACAGGCTTCCAGCTCCAGCTGGAAAATTCGCGACTTTGTTGTACAAGTCTAGTACGCGAAGTACACGTTTTTAATTTCTATCTCTAGCTGGAAAATCGCGACTTTGCAGTACAAGTCGAGTACGCGAAGTACAGGTTTCTAGCTCCAGCTGGAAAATCGCTACTTTGTAGTACAAATCTAGTACGCGAAGTACAGGTTTCCAGCTCCAGCTGGCAAATGGCGACTCTGTAGTACAAGTCTAGTACGCGAAGTACAGGTTTCTAGCTCGCGAAGCTTTTGTAGTACAAGTCTGGCGCGCGAAGTACCGGTTCCAGCTCTAGATGAAAAATTGCAACTTTGTAGCACAAGTCTAGTGCGCTCGAAAATCGCAACTTTGTAGCACAAGTATAGCGTACGATCGCAACTTTGAAGTACAAGTCTAGCGCGCGAAGCGCCGGTTTCCAGCACTAGCTGGAAAATCACAACTTTGTAGCACAAGTATAGTGCGTGAAGTACAAGCTTCCAGCTCTGGCTGGAAGATCGCAACTTTGAAGTGCAAGTATAGTACGCGAAGTACAGGTTTTCAGCTCCAGCTCAAATTCGCAACTTTGTAGTACAAGTCTAGTACGCAAAGTACAGGTTTTCAGCTCTAGCTGGACAATCAAAGGTGTGTAGCGCAAGTCTAGTGGGCGAAGTACAGTTTTCCAGCTCCGGCTGGAAAATCGCAACTTTGTAGTACAAGTCTAGTGAGCGAAGCGCAGGTGTCCAGCTCCAGATTGAAAACCGTAACTTTGTAGCAACAAGTGGAGCGCAAAGCACAGTTTTTGCAAGCTGAAAAATATATTTCAGTTGGCTTGATTGCGAGCCCATTGTCTTATACCGAAAATTGTTCTCTCTGATTATTTTCTTGGGTTTGCGCACACTGGTGTGCATTCGGGTTCGTGAGCTCTGTCTTGTTTGTTTTTTGTTTTTTGTTTTTGGTTTTGTTTTCGTTTTTGTTGTTGTTGCTGTTGCCTTTGCATTTGTTGTTGCTGTTGCTGGTGCTAGTGGTTGTGAATTCGTATGATTGTGTTGTTTTGGATATGACAGTCTTTGTCACCGTTGGCTTTTTATGTGTTGTTTTTGTTTCTGGGTTGTCGCCGTGGTGAAGGTGGTTTTTGGGAAGTCGTGCCGTGGTGAAGGTGTTTTTTGGGCAAATCGTGACTTGTGGCATGATTGGTATACAATGTGTTTTTGCGCCGTGTTTTAATTTGTTTGGCAACAAGAAGATGACAGCTTTACCTGAGATTGTCACTGGAGACGACAACGTCGAGAAGGTGCCATCATCTTGACCAACAAGCGCTTGATACATGCCCAGCGCTCAGCAAACTGCACAGCTGGAGGATCCTTTTGGGTGCTAAAGACCTAATCATGAGGAATGCCCCCCCAAAATAGAAAAAGACAAAGGAGTTGAAAAAGGCAATCCTGAAGTTGAAGTTTGTTGGTTTCTTTTACTACCTCAAACGCACACCAAAAGAGGGTCGCCAGTTTCAGGAAGCCTCCAATTGAGACCCATCAAATATCACCTCAGCACATGCACATACCATGTTTGAAGGCTAGATTTGCAGCGTCAGTTTTAGGAAGTCGGAGACCTTGAGCTGCTTGCATGGATTCTTTTCCTCGGTCCAAGGTAGCCTCGCACTTCTCGTGGTACAGGAAGTCTCTGAAGGCTCGGCTTGAGGTTTGGTCAACATATCCAGCAGTGTTGGGTTCCTGTTGGAGGGACATGGGGGACTCTTTGAACTTCCCGAAAACGGGAGCTCTAAAAAGGTCTTTTGTCCAGTAGGGCTGGCTGTGAAGCTTCTTGCAGTACTGTGTTCGGTCGCACATGCTGCATGACGTATTCCCGACCAGTTGGGATGGATGAAACTGTATGAAGATTGGGACAAGCTACCTACCATGCTATGGTATTCTGTCCATCCATAGTATACACACATATATATATATATAGGGGGGTGTTTACAAGCATTGGGCAAGTAGGCGGAGCTTTGATGTTTATGTGACATGTATGTACACATTGGCATGGTGCCTCCGCATCCCGAAACCTCTACCTTCACTGCTGGTTTGCCGTCGTTCATAGCTCTGATGTTTACACATGAGACCTCACATCCTTTAAGACCTTTTCCACAGAGACATGAACGCTTCCAGGATGAAGATGAAACCCATAATGACTGCCATCAAATACGTAGTCCAGAAGAACCTGGTCAGCTTCTCAACACTAGTACATCCCAGAATTGGATGAATGTTCCCGGCTCCGTGTTTCCAGGTGCACACACGTCCGCGGTCGTCATGTTTACATGGTACAGCTGGAGGTTTCACACAGGGCATGCTTCCGAATATGCAAACACCAACAGACTTTGCGTGTCGTTTCGACGCAAGGTGGACATGTACACGGTGGGGGAGTCGGTGAGGCGCCAGCTTTTGGGTGAAAACAAGTCCGCAGCGCGGTCCTTTTGACTCAGATCCCCAGCAGTTTGATTTGGAAAGATCGGTGATCAACGCTCAACTTCAGTGTCAAACTCCTCATTGAAGGTCTTGAAAGTAAACCTTTCGAGAATAGATTCAAACAGGCAAAGGAAGCCAACCGCGGTGAAGTTGGAGACACCCTCTTATTGACGGTGCTTGAATGGAAGCGAAAGTCAGACAAGCTATGTTGAGAAGTGGTACTTAGAAGACGTGATTGTGTTTCATATTCTTGGTTTGCTATGCAACAGTACAGTGAGTTCGATTGCGAAGACGGCCAAGGATTTACCATGATGGATTTTAATGCTGAAAGCAAGCTCACATCGCAACTGCCTCGAGCTGGCTCCTGAAGCTGTGTTTCCTTGTCAGACAAGCTATGAGTGAGGACCATGATGCGCTGGTTGAACCTGATCCAGAGCTGGCACAGACTGGGAAAAGCCAGACTCATGGGTGGAGGCGGTTTTGCATGGCCGGTGCTACAGCAGGGATTATGATAGTGATGGGTGCCGGGATGGTCTACCTGCGAAAGAGCGACCATAGCACTCAAACAGCGAGTTTGCCAAGCCTCACCACGCTGACACAACTGGCAACTGCGTCGCGGTGGGACTCAACAGCCATCAGGGCTTTGCATGGAACTCCTCCAACGCGAGAGATAATCCAGAAGTTGTCTGCTGTGCCTCTGCAGAAGGGTCCGAACAAGACATCGCAGCTGCAAATCATCCAAAATTTCACGTTGAGAGACCTATCTGTGTCTCGGGGGCCCTCTCACAAAATATCAGCAATCAAATCCGTTCTTGATGCACACCTGGCAATGCAGCAGAAGCTAACAGATATTCAAGCCATCATCGAAGACCAACAGGCGTCCACGGATCGGGATTGGGCAGTTGCTTGCTGTGTCTTTTCCGCCCTGCTTTCAGCCTACAATCTGCCAGAGTTGGCTTTCGAGGTCGGAAACGTAGTATACGCCTGTGAATCCGGAGCCACAGCAACTGAAGCTGGGCGGCATGCTTGTGCAGCGAACGTGGGCAAGCTGATTGTGACTTTGTCTGCCTTTGGTCTCAATGTTGCTGCTTCTGTGGCGACTTGCAAGCCAGAAGGGGACACCAAGGCAGACTGTGCTTATAGTATCTTTGATATGACAGCTGCTCTGGGTGCATGGGCAGCAGCTCCATCTGCACTTATCATTGGCTGCAATACAGATCCTCACTTTGTCGAGAAGTCCCCCGAATCCTCTTGGACGAACCTGGGGGAATGCATCGTCGGGGCTGGGGAAGTCCCCCCTTGGATTGGCCGTGCCATCTTTTTCTTCCGTGCAGCTTCGGTAAGTTGCCCAAAGTCCAAAACTCAGCTCGAGAAGAATCTATGCCTTCAGCATGTCTCGCAAGCACTTGCGCATCTGTCTGTTGGTGCCTACTACCTGGCCATGGCAGTAACTACGTGTGGGCCGAAACTGGACAACGACGGAGTTTGCGCCCAAGGCGCTATTGCAGTGGCTGCGGGAACCAACGCAATGATCACCGGGGCAACAGGCGTCAGCTTGTTCTGCTGCGAGCCAGGCTCCAGCGAGACCTGTGCGGCGAAGGACAACAACCAAATCATATACGCAGAAGATTAGCCTCGAAATGAAGGCAAATTATGTGGCCAAAGTGCTGCCTGCAAGAGTACTTAGGGGTTTGACATGACATCATACCTCAATTGCAGGCATTGATTGACTTTTAGTGTCAAGCTGGGATAGATCCGCACTCCTGTTGCAATTGATTTTCCACGAACAGGGTGAAGCGGTTTCCAGCACTTGTTTCACCAGGAGCTTGCATGAGCTGGCCAAATGGCCAATCAACTTGTGTTGCAAGGAGGCGTATCCTCCCGATGCAGGAAGGACAAGCTCACAGGTCAAAAGTCCAAGCAGCTAGGCTGTTTTTTGCTCAACTCCGGGTCCTATGGTCCTATGGCCTATGGAAAAACACACAAGAGCCCACAATCCGCATAGCCATTTGTACGGCCGGCTCAGCCAAAGGTACGTGGGCCTGCGGCCCCCCAGGTGGCAATGCTGCGCACGGCCATCAGGCCTGAGCTTCTGAGGTGGAACGTGTCCCTTCAAGTTATATATAGGAGATGGCGGAACTCCGAACCTTCAGCCCTAGTCAGCAGTTGGACATTTTGCATAATAAAACCTGACCTATCGAGATTGGACTGCAATCTGGAGGGGGTCACTTTTGCCGCCGCACCACGCGGGACCCGCTTGAGTTCACGATCCCGACGACATGGCCCTGCCCTATGGCCCCGGCAAGGCGAGCTGTCCGTGGCTACACGACTCGGCACCTTCGAGGCCCAGATCCTCCGGGCGGCTTGTGCTTAAGCCTCACGGACAAAATGGCGAGTCCGGGTTCTTTCTCGCTTGGTCTTTCGGAGGTATGCGGTTCTTTTTTCGCGCATGGCCAAGGGACAACCCTTCAAACTGACGCTTGGCAAAAAGGCCCTAAAGGGCATCTTTCAAGGGCCAGTTGGTGAGAACGGCCGTCTTGTTTGGCTGGGACATTGTTCCACCACTTTGCTGAAGACACGTGTGGAGCTTCCAACTTGGTTTCCTTTGAAGATTTCCAAAGGAAGCGCCCGAAGGGGATCCAAAAATGGCCTCTAGGTTGGACAGGAGCCCTCTTAAACGGGTGATGTCCGCTTGTCTTCCTTCAACACGTGTCCCACTAGTTGCAAGCATCTGAATCAACGCTTAGGTTCATGTCAGGGCTTCAGAAATGGGTGCGCCTTCACGTAGAGCACTCCCCAAATTGGTGGTTGAAGTGGGTTTCCCCGTGGTGTCCCTTTAAGGCACAGCCCAAGACCTCATCTAAACAGCGGCAACGTTCCATGTGTCCGCGGTGCATGGGAGGTGCGGCTGCTGCAGATGAAGAGGCTCCGGGACTGCGCCCAGCGCATGTGGCAAGGCTTCGCCGCCCTGCAGGCGCATCGCAGCTGTTGGGCTTTTCCTTTCTTTCCCAACAGCTGAAGGCTTTGTGGTCTTTGACCAAATGATGGGGGTGGTTCGGGAGAATTCCTGAGGGTTCCGGGGGCTGTTGGGGATACCTATCTCCCACAAGGCTAGGCCAACCAATGAAGCAAAGCACGGAGGTTTCCCCTGGGGATAAACGCAAGAACCTGTCAATAGGGAGGTCGGGTCATTGTTAGTGTGCGATCATGCTTTCTGGTTTGAGCTGCTGAGAGACGAAACTGCTCAATTCCTTTAGAGGCGGGCCCAATTCGTGGGTTCACCATTTCGAGACACATTGTGACCAATTATAACAATTTTGGTGGACCCCGTCGATAGGGAATTTGGATGGCAGACTGCCATTTACCCTCAGCAGTTTCGACCGAAACTAAGGTCTGAGGGGAACTGGGACCGGCATCTCTTTTGAAAGGACCTTCAGATATAAGGTTCGCCAAAGATGCACCATCATGTGTTGGGCAAAAGCGAGGGAAACTTATTTCAGGTGCAACGTCGAAGTCTGGTGTCTAAATTTCAGGACACGCAGTCCGTTTCGGCGCTGGAACTGGACGACTGGGTCGCTGCCTTGGTGGCAGATCTGGTTGCTTTTTGGATGGCACTTGGGTTCTGGACGGCGGATGAGCTCAGGCGAAGCCGTCTTTGGAGGGTGCTGGTAGTTCTATGATAACGGAATCCCACTTTTAAGTGATAAAATAGTCATGGGGATGGGAATCCCACTTGGGTACTGTAGAAAGATTGATTTTCCACGTGGAAGGTTGTCAAAGCTCGGCCCTAGGCCGGCGTGTGGTTCCGCCTTTGTTTACGTGATATGTTGCCTGAGTCCCAACACGGCGTCGCAGATGGGAACTTGCTTGGGGCCTGCTTCAGGAGGGTGGTTCTCCGACAAAATCAACAGAAATTCGGAGGAGCAACCATTTTGCCAAAGCATTATAATGCTAAAAAAAAAACACACTTGAGCTGTCATGTAGGCTGTCATGTAGGCTGTCATGTAGGCGCAAGTCGAAAATTCACCACCTGTGGCTTGCCAGCGGCCTCCCTTCAGGCGTCAGTTGCAGAGGCTTTGCGCTCAGATCCTCAGTTGGCCCGTTGCAGGTGCCATGAATCCCGAAGATGTTTGGGTGCCCCACTTCGAATTGATTCCACGGCTGTCATTCTGAAGGGCTATGCCAGGTAGGTTCATTGGCACGTAGTTTTGGGAGTCATGTGTGGTGTATATGTATAATGCTACGTGCGTCACATACCTGGACCAACCAAGGGCACTTTTTTGCGACTGTCTGCAAAAATCCGTGCATTTCCTTGAAATCCATACATTTGAGCAAAAACTGTACTTTTCTTGCAGGCTCAACGCAAGAGGCAGGAGCATTCAAAGACATTTTCTACAAGAATCTCACGTTCAGCTCCGGCCCTGGCACTGGAGATTGTCATGCTCATGGGCCAAGAAAAACATTTCAAGGTGTGCAATTCACCAAGGACAAAAGTTTCGCATTTCCCCCGAGCAACATGTTCCGCTGATTTCCGTACTTTTTCCGCAGATTTCCGTACTTTTCCCGCCGATTTCCGTGCATTTCCCGCCGATTTCCGTGCATTTCCGGCTTCTGCCTTTTGGCTGTGAAAACTGCAAACTCGCAAAAAGCGGCAAGGAAGCTGTCGCATGTTGCCCCACAGCAATAGGAGACGAATGACCTGAAACGGAATTAAGTATGACTGGCCATGTAAATTGCAAACTGTGTTCATGTGCATCCATGTGCACCACAAACGCCCACAGCCTGCTAAAAGCGATTTCCGTCAAATTTCCTCAAAAGTGTACATTGACGTTTTTCTTCTGCCTGTACGGAAATTTCAGTACTTTTGGAGGGTTCAGGTATGTTAACTCTAGATTAACAATAAATGGAGAAGTGTACCCCCAAAAGCATTTCGATCATTTCGATAGTCCTTTTTAAATATGGGGAGTACATCTTTGGTGCTTGATCAATACATCGGTGTGAAGTTGGCAATGCTACGTACTTCAGAAGCGAGCAATACAATTTCTGAATGGGTGAAATCTACTTGACAAACATCGGATTTGGGCAATTCGAACTGTAACATTTAACAGTGCAATCTGTTTGAATTAAGCAAATGCGAGTTTGAAATTGGCGAGGCAGATATAGAACTGGGGGTTCTTTTCTCCCTGTTATTTGTTTTTTTTGGGGGGGGCCTCAGTCTTTTACGTATGATAGACGTACATTGGTGTCCATTTTAGTCTAGTTAGAACTGGATGGGTTCTACTGGGGTAGATTGGTGTTATTCCATTTACCAGGGCTATCTATTTTATTAAAACGGCCACCTATGGCGACATAGTGAAGCAGTGAAGCCATTATTTTTCTCATGTGTGTTATTCAGGAATTGTCCCATAGGACGCAACACACCCCAGCGGTCGGAGGTGTAGCGCGGGTCAATTTTCACCCTGCTTTAGATTGCGCTATTCCAAGTCTAGTAAATGTGAAGACCTCCCCGTACTTGCTCTTTCACGTACAGGATTTTAGGGGGAACGGGTGTGAATAGTTATTGTGGCAACCCAAGAAGGCCGCCGACTTTCATCCTGGTGGTGCGTACTTTCAGACATGCAGGCAAAGGCGCCGTGAAACTTTCAGTTTTGGCAAACATGTTTTGAAGCTTTTGATCCAAGCTTACAAAGGCCCTTTGACACATTTGGAGATGTGCCACCGTGTTTGACGACATGAATTATGGCCTGTCGCAATCTTGGGCACATGATCCGGGGTAAACATCTCGAGGGCAAGATGTCCTCCGCCCTTCGGGAGGGCGACAGCTTTGCCCGAAGAGCAGTGTAACAAAACATACTAGCCGGTCAGTATGATTAGATTGATGGTTGCATTTTGTGTGGCTGGTGCGGCACAGGCACAGTCAATCTTCTCCCTGGTTTGGAGAGCTTGCAAGTGTGAAGACTGACCGCCGCGGACGTTCTCTTTCACTTTCCGGGTTGTATGGGGAGCTTTCACTTCCAGGATTCTACGGGAAAAGGGATCGAACATGCGTTGTGGCAACCCAAGAAAGCAATGGTCTAGCAACGTTAGCCAAAGCCAAACGCGGGGTCCGGGGGAAAGACTGTTCCGAGTTCCGGTCCACTGGTTGGGTTTGGGGCTGGCAGGAGGACTAGGAATTAGTCAATGCTTGGGGACATTCGGAGTGCAGGTGTTTCTTATGCTTGGGCATGCGCCGGAAGGCCAGATCCGATTGAGCGGGGCTTACTAATCTGTTTAGTTACTCTGTGTTTAGGCCCCTTTGCAGGAGTACGGTGGCTGGCGTCAGGCAACACACTTACATTCCATTCTGGGCAAGTTGCTTTGCGACCTCACCTATGAAGGCTCCTTTCTTGAGGGTTCATTTTGTTCAGTTTGGTGCTGTCCAACAATTGATTCGTGCACCTACAACTTGTCAGACTTGTCATCGCTGTTTGTGTTTTCCCCGAGCGCCGAGGAGCTTCCCGAGGATCTGGAGACGACAAGTCAAGACGGGGATGACAAGCTCTTGGTTCAGGAGGCAGGTTTGAGACGACTATTGATGGACGCGTCCCAAACTGAAAAAAGGCGGCATTTCTGTTTGTTTCTTCACGCCATCGAAAAGGGTTTAGATAACTTTGGGACACAGTGTCAGATGGGATGTGCCAAGGGTGGTTCAAGCAGTGGATGAAAACCGTTTTCAGTGCAGATTTGTCCCGAATGTCCTGAACTGCAAGTCGAGGTACAACCCAGGCCTGTCTCGAATGGAGCTGGATGCTTCTGGCTGGCAAATGTGAGGCAACCCCATAGAAAAAAACAAAACACATTTGGGCTTGGTGTCCTTGTTTCTAGTTGCCTGCAGAACTTTGGCCATCAAACCGCTATGACAGATGTGAGCGAGTCATTTTCAGGGTATTCTTTTCGAGGTTGAAGGGACACAAAACATCACAGTGCTCGTCGCGTATCCGCCTCCGCCAGGCACGTGCCGAAGCTGGGGCTCTTTGGGGTGACGACATTGCGGAGGCCGAGACTCGGGGAGTCTTTTCCTCGAAGCAGAGAGGAACCTATCAGACAAGAGAGGCTCTTTGATCCTTGAAGCCATTCATACTTATCTTGGCGCTTCCCAGCCTTCCCAGTAGGTTTTTGGTTTTAATTTAGAGTTTAGTGGGGGTTTCCATCGGAGAATGCTTGATTGCTTGCAAATGTATTTGGAATGTTGACTTGAGCAGACAAGACAGAACGTGATGGCTGATGTTCAGTTGGCGATGGCCCTCATGATGGCTCCTTGCAAGGTCGTTTATGAAGCTCAAACTGGCAAGCACTGTCAGTCCTTGGCGTTTCTTGGCGTTGGCAGGACATCGTTCAAGAGGAAGTGCCAGAGGATCAGGCAAATCTGGCTTGGAGTCGTCGCAGTAGCCAGCCAACCTTTTGGAAGATCACTTCCGCTGTGTGTTCAGACGGAATCAAAATCTAAGTTGACGACTCTGCAGATGAACATGGAGCCCAGCGAACCGTCGTTTGTAGAGGAATATCTTCTTCTTTGTTCTTTTGCGGGGGACCTAAAAAACGGGTTCCATGGTTATCTAGACTGTGGCGGGAGAAATTTGGGCTGAATATGATAGCTTGCCGGCAATTTCTGTCAAGAAAACAAGCCCGTGCAACCCTGGCGACATGTTCAGTGCCTTTAAAAAAGGGGGGTGCCATATTTGGTTGACCTGAGATTTGGTTTGATTTCTGGGATTCCACAGACCGCCTGCGTGCCCACCCGTGTGGAATATTGTAAGAACGCGTCTTGCAAGCTCGGGCGCATCCACGAGAAACCATTTTGCAAAATTGGTGTGTGTGTGTGTGTGCCAAATCGAAGCAGGAAAATGCATGGACCCTTGCTTTCCCAACAAAGAAGCATCAGCGGCTTCTAACACATTGCCATGTTGCTTGGACTCCTTTTTTGTGTCTTAAATTAACGACCCAAAATGCACAAAAAGATTTTTCCTTTGATTCGGGGCGTCGAATTGAATCGGGGCGTCGTTTCGAGGCAGTAACCGGGGTTTATTTCAAAGGCATTTCACAGGTGTAAGGACTGGTTCAAACTTCCAAAAACATGGACTGTTGGAGGGGGTAGTTTGGCACTCGCCCCAAGCCACACGCGGCCACCTTCACGTACCCGTTTTAAACCCTGGGAGTACCCATTTTAAACCTTAAGGGTACCTGAGTCAAACCCGGGTCTGTTGCGGGTACTCCGCCCGACGCCCGCTGCGCTACGGGGGCATCCATCGCGGTCCGGCCAGGGCCTCGGCTGGTGCTTTCCACGAGTCTCTCCATCGGAAGATTTTTTAACTTTTCAAGCCCATTGAAGGGCTAACCTTCAGAAAAAAAAACACTGAGAAGGGAAACTCGCGTTCACAACTTACGGAACTTGTGTGTTTAAAACATACGCTTCTAAACCTCACGTTTTGGCAGAACATGAGCTACCAGTAAAAAGGTTCGTACTAGGGCTACGCGTTGGAGTTGACTTGGGTGAAAGACACGAGAAACGAAGGTGGCCATGCTAGTAAGAAACATAAGTACAAGGCTTACAAAGAAGAAGCCACCGTTACCTGTAAAACAAGGACTGGGCTGGGTTAATGTTATACCTGGGGGGGGGGGGGCAAATCTAGCTTTGACGGCCCAAACTGTGTTTTTTTTGGGGTTGGGACTCCCAAATCAAACTTTGGTGGCCCAAATGGGTTTCGGGCCACTATTTAAGGTGTCCGGTTGATCTTGCAGAGGCTACCCCCAAAAAGGACTCCCAAATCCGGTTTTGGTGGCTCACACACGGTTTCCAACGCATTTGTCATGTCCCGTTCAAATTTCAGAGGGTACCCGCAAAGGACTCGGGCGGCCCAAACTGGTTTTGGGACACTATTTAAGCATCCACTGTTTTGGGGCTCATTTTTTCAGAGGGCACCCACCAAGGACACCCGAACTTTGCTTTGGCAGCCGAAGCTGGTTTTGGCACACTGGTTTTGGCACACTTTTGAAGTACCCCAAATCCAGTTTTGACGGCTCAAACTTGTTTGCGGTCTTTTTAAAGAATCCCCCTTTGTTTCGGCTCAGATTTTGGCAGCCCTAAACGAGTTCTGGTGCATTTGCTGCCCTGGCTTTGCAAAAGGGATCGGCCACCAAGCACCGCAGGGCATGAAAACCTGCACCCTCAAAGTTACCCCCAAAGTTGTGGCTTAAAGGGAAACCAGCCAAACAGTAATTTTGAGAGGCTATTTTCAGGGACTCAGGGAAGATGGCAGTAGTTGCAGCAGGCGCTGCATAGTATGCACCCTTTTGGCTGAAGTCGCCCCCAAGTGATTTGGGTGCCGCATGAAGCAGCTCAACAGCACAAGGGGGAATCAGGAGACACATCTGCAACCAATAGAATTGGGGGGATGCATCCTTCTCCGGCAAGCATGGATCGCACCCGAATCGATGAGCTATCAAGCGATGGCGGGCCTTCAGATTCGTCTCGGGAAGAACAAAAGAGCGCAGCGGACAAGGGCATCTTCAGCCCAGCAGCGCTGAAGCAGAGACTACGGGTGCCCTGCTCTTGTGTGAAACCACATGGCCAGGGTCACCGCGCCACATCGCATCATGAGTATTTTCGCCAGGAGGGATTCGTCAAATATTTGGAATTCTTGGCGGCGTGGAGAGAGCTTCACAAACTAGACCAAGACCGCCTTGCTGCTCACCAAACAAGCTTAGAATCGTTTGTCTTTGGGCTCCCCTTTAGGTCCACGTTACTTCCCAGCTGCCCCACCTTGCATCGTAAATAGCTACACTTTTGGAAAGCGCTAGCCGAACTTGGCCTCAAGTTTTGGCCCCAACAGGAACTAACACATGACACATGCTTTTAGCTTTGCTGAGTTGTTTGATCGGCTACGCGACCTAGCTGTGTCTCAACAAGTTCTCCAGCCGCTTCACCACGCTCCTGTGCTTCAGTCAGCGACACCCACGCGCAGGCGACCCCTCACCTACTATTTCCTGGGCCAGAAAGTGTGCAGGGATGCTTGGCTCCGACTGCACTTCATTGGGAAATCCCGATTTCAAGTGGTCTTGAAAGCTGTGTTGGAAGGCAAGCTGTCCGCTCCAATGGATGCCCGCTACATACGCCGCGCGAAGAACACCACCGTGTCCCCGACTTGGGGCGAGGTTCACTCCTACCTGTTGCAGCTGTACCAGTCCGTTGCGGAAACCCTTCCCGATGACGCCCGCTCCGACTCGGACGGGGAGGTGTGCGCCGGCGACGACGAGGACGCCCAGACACCGCTCTTGCAACTTGAGACGCCGTCTGGTCAGCTTCTTGAGACGGCCCGGGTGCTACAGGAGAAGGGGGACAAGCCTCAGTGCTGGGAGGAGCGGTTTCTGCCTCCAGGCAGCATGTTCGACCAGTACAAACAGATGCTGGCGACCGAGCCCCACTTGTCATGCAGCTTCAAAACGTTTTGGAAAATATGGTGTCAGGACTTTCCTACGTTGAAGTTTCGCAAGGGGTTCCGGCACGCTGTCTGCTCGGTGTGCACAAAGCACAAGATGTTGATCAAGGAGCTCGCGCACGACTGCCGCTCTAGACAAAAGCAAAGACTTTTATATGACCGGCACCTACAATCGCAGTATGAGGACCGCAAAGTCTACTGGTCGATCAGGGCCGACAGCCGTCTCCACAAGCGCCCCATCATCCTCATCGCCGACTCCATAGACCAGTCGAAATTTTGCTGGCCGCGCCACACTGTTGCATTTCAGTCCCACCAGTTCGACGCCGTCATCCGTCCCAGACTGCACATCTGCGGCCTGATCATGCATGGCTGGCTGGACATTCTCACCATAAGCCACGCCGACGTTCACTCTGGAGGCTCTTTCACGATTGAGCTCGTCTCTCACGCCCTTACCTTGCTACAGAAATCTGGGGTAAGTTTGACCTCCCGCGAGCTTTACCTACAGTTTGACAACGCGGCATCTAGCAATAAGAACCAAACCGTGATGTCTTACCTAAGCATGCTGCCGCAGGTGAACGCAGTGCAGAACACAACTGCACTTTTCTTGAGGTCTGGTCATAGTCACGAGGACATTGACCAGCAGCACGGGCAACTCAGCTGGAATAGCAATCGATTCAAAAGGCTGCTCTCTTTTCAATAAAGCGTTCATCTAGCAGTCGCTCATCCTCAAAACTGCTTCACGCCCCACAGACTTCTAGCAGTTTCTGCTCCGGTAGCCAGAGGGTGCTTATGTTTATCCTTGATGCTCAACTTTGTTGAGAAGGTAGCGTTAGCAATGCTGAGTGCCAGTTTCCCAAGCCAAATCCAAATCCTCAACAAAAGCCAGTGACTTCAATGTTCTGGTTGACTCAACTTAGAAACAATACACCGGCAAGAGACCTCAAGCAGTGTTGGGGGAGGGATGAAAATAGAAAACCAAATGATATCTTAAACGTACAACAGGTGAGGTCACATGTCAAATGGAAGGAGATTGCGAGAGCAACGGTTTCTGTAAATTCCTGGACAAGATCTCCGTGGAAGGATCTTTGCAGGATTTGTGGAAGGGTCTCTTGGTAGGATCTCTTGGCAAGATCTGCACGCAGGATCTCCGAGAAAACCCTCTACAAGCTCTCTCTTCCAGCGCAAGATCTGTTGGGTGGATCTCTAGGCAGGACCAGCGCAAGGTATCTGTAGAGGATCTTTTCAAAATCTCTGCATAGGATCTCTGGGTAGAAAAAACCCTATACAAGTGTTCTGTTCAAGATCTGTAGAAAGCATCCTCCACAAGATCTCGCAGGGGCAGATCCCGCACAAGACCTCGACCGTTTTAATATTTTTGTGGGAGGATCGCAGCATCCCTGCGCAAGGGTTAGGTAGGATCTCTTGGTGAAATCTCTTGGTAGGATCTCACAGGCAGGGCCCCTTAGAGGACCCTCAGCGAGTAGGGAGCGCGCCCTCTACAAGACCTCTTGACAGGAACTCTTTGCAAGTCCTGCGCAAGACCTGTTGGGAGGATCTCTGAAAGGACCAGCTCGAAGTACCTTTGGCTTTTACAGTGTCGATGCGCAAGATCTCTTGAAGGATCTCGGCCAACCACGTTGCGTGAGCCTGCGCGGTCGAAACGCACTTCAAGATGTTAAAAAGGTCACAGTTGTACGTAAATGCCATCAGAAATGCTAACATCGGCCCTTTACTTTTGCCGTAAGAACCCCCTACTATTAACGCACTGCTTGGGTAAAAAGTAGCGATAGCAATGCTGAGTGCCAGTTTCCCAACCCAAAACAAACTCCCAAGGCCAACGACTTCAATGTTCTGGCGGAGGGTATCGTTTTTTTCGGTGACTGCTTGGCCAGATTTATTGCCCCCCCCCCCCAAACGAGGGAAA